TGTCTTGGGGGTCGATGCAGTTCTTTGTTCTGCAGAAGTGATCGCTCTTTTATTGTTGTCTTGTCAGGAAACTGAGATTGCATTCATTACTTCTACAAATTTCGAATGATATGATCGTCGAGTCTCGCTTAGCACGAAAGCGTTTTCCAAGTTCGAATCTTGAAATCTGCCGCCTTTTACCCCTCTCACGTGTCGCATTGGACACAGACTGGAAACCTAGTGACACCTAAGTCGAATAATGACGAACCTCAGGCCTGTGATTCTGACGCATTTCGTTCTGTAACAGAAAATTTCTGGTCTAATTGGGAGTGACATCGTGCTTTTTTGTTCATCGCACCCATCTTCATTGCTGGCAGATGCGATTTGCGCTACCGGGAGAAATTCTGACCTCATTGGACGACGGCCTGACGCGACGTCATGGTACAACTTCCGCTCAACGCCGCTCCATTCAACGCTACCTCTTTCACGCCAGCCTGTCATTGAGTGACTTTGACTGCAATGCTTTGGTGGTGTAAAATGTAAATGGAGACTCCAAGGGACAAATAACATAGTGCACATATAAAAACACCTTTTTTAAATAAATAAAAATATATGGTACTTTCCTGTTATCTCTGTACCTCATTCCAAGACCACACTACCATCCAGACAAATCTTTAGGATAAGATACAACATAATCACATCAACCTACCAGAAACTGTGAATTTTATTTTTCTGCATTCTGCTGAAACTGATTTTGGGAGGTGGTTAGATAAAGTTAGGTTAGGTCAGGTTATTTTAATTAAAGGATATATGTAACTAACAAAACATGGAGGTGGTTAGGTAAAGTTAGGTTAGGTCAGGTTATGTTATGTTAGTTACAAATATCTTTCAATTAACATAACCTGACCTAACCTAACTTTACCTAACTGCCTAAATTACAAATATCTTTTAATTAACATAACCTGACCTAACCTACTACAGCATTGAGCCTTTGGAGTGGTGTCACATTCAAGGAATTAATTCTTTTAAAAAATAATTCTTTTCTGGCCATGTTTGGAAGTTATTTGAACAAATCAGTGGTAGTGATGGAATACCTTTGAATGTGTTAACCATTTTTGGCCATAACCTAATACTACTCATAAAATAACAAGAAAAAACAATACAAATGCTGCAAGTTCATGTATTGAATAGTATGTTATCTTCCAACACCATTCTTCAACATGTAATTCCTAACTGCAAGCATGCGCAATTCATGAAGTCACTCAATCCTGGTGTTGAGGGATGGAGTGGAAATGAACATCCCTCTAGGAAGGCAGCGTGGAAGTCAGTGGCGTTGAGTTGGAAAGTGTACCATAATCGGGTTGAAGTTTTCCCGGTGGAAACAACTTGGGGCTATAATGACGCTTTTCGAAGTTCTTGATGTGCGTTTCTTGTCGAAGAAGTTTGTATTTAGGTAAAAATATCCCTTGAGGTTCTGAGGTTCTCTTAGATTTATACTGATAAATCTTCCACCTTGAATAAGACACTTGATATTTTTGTGATCTGTGCCTAATTTCTATTGAACGTAAAATTTTAATTTCATTATCGTGAACTTGAATTCGATTTTTCCAGGTGTGACCATGAGGGTGCTCTTACTGTTATATATCGCCTCGTGGTCCCTGTGTTGTGTTTATTGTAAAAAGCGTGAAGGAGAAGACAAACCAACTTGGGCTAAAAAGGATGTACGAGATTACACTGATGCAGATTTGGAACGTTTGTTCGATCAGTGGGAAGAAGACGAAGAGCCGCTCGAACCCGACGAACTGCCGGAACATTTAAGGCCGCGTCCGAACATCGATATGTCCCAGCTTGATTTTTCGGATCCGGAAAAAATCATGCAGATGACGAAGAAGGGACAAACTGTGATGGCATTTGTGCGGGTTTCAGGAAATCCTACGGCAGAGGAAACGAAGGAAGTGACGAGCATTTGGCAGCAGGCTTTGTGGAATAATCACATCCAAGCAGAGCAGTATCCCGTTGATGACAACAGAGTTATATTTCTCTTCAAAGATGGGTCGCAAGCCTGGAAAGCGAAAGATTTCTTGCTAACTCAAGAGAAGTGTGCGGATGTTACGATTGAGGGGAAAACGTATCCCTCGCCAAATGAGAAGAAACTCAATGATGAATTATAGCATATTTTCGTGCTTTAGATAATTTTTGGTAATTTCTTGTGTGATAGCTGCCCTGAAAGTGATGAAAAATAATGTCAGCACATTAATCATATTTGATTTAAATTTTGATGAATGTCGTCAATAAATCGCAGAAGTGTTAAAATAGGTCCCCTCTTACTACATGTACTTTATTTGAACTGCTCACCTGAGTTATCGAACCGAACCATGACTAACTTTGCCATACTAACCTTTTTATTCAACTTACAGTCGTTACTTGATTAAACCTGTTCCAACCCACTAACGCCGGACTCACCTAACTTCACCAGATTCAACTAACTGAACATATCACCTGACTACGTTAACCTAGTTTTACTTGACATAGCCTAATGAAACTCAGTCCAACATATTTTACTATAAAAATATTGCAAATGTCAAAAGAACCTATGGCGCTTGAACGCTGAATAACAAATAGGACAGCTATAATGAGCAAAATCCTTTATTTTGTTTGTTTTTTCAGTGATTGTGAGAGATACTTTGTTGAATATGAGGAGATATCAGCTTGCAAGTGAGTTTCCAATTGAGCTTGAAGGCCATGATATTCGCTCTGATTTTTGCTAAGAGATGCTTGTTGCTTCCTAAATCCGATTCCTTTTCTAGGCGACGTTTCGTGCTTTCCCTCAGATTAGTCTCCATTCTTTCCGCAGAAAAACTCATTTGTGAATTTTTTCGAAAATGGCGGACGCTTTGGATGTTCTTGAAATTGAGCGCGTTGCACCCGAGCTGACCAAAGATAGCTTTTTGGGTCAGTCGGGGCAAAGTCAAAAGCGAATCGTGAAACCTCAGTTGATTCGGCGGCCAGTTGGCATGAGTAGAGAACTTTTTTCGTTGATAAGTAAAAATGTCGAGGTTGGCGGTCCAGTGGTTCCTGGAGACAGTGATGCGGGGTGAGTAAGATTTACAGTATAATTCACTCAGCGTTTACATTTGAGTGCGCGAATTAGACTTGAAAGAATTATATTATTTATTTTAATACTCAGTTCGAATTAATTCTGAAATTAGACGCATGTCAAGTTGCGCATGTCGCGAGACAATCATGAAGTCACGAAGCCCAAAATAATAATGTGGGTTTACTAAGAAATTACTGCGTTTTAGAAAAATTCAAATGATTGTACTGTATGTTTGAAATTAAATCACGGGTAAAGCTAAATTGGTATTTAATGAACAATTTATTTAAGCCCATGGGTAATACTGTGTAAGAAAGATCGAAATTATTTGTGTGACCTTTAAATCATTCAAAACAATCAGTCCACATTACTCGAACGAATTCCTGCAGTATGCAACTGGAACATTGCTCGCGCAAGCAACGAATGAAATCAGGAGCCGATTGAACTTTCTATGATCTAATGATTGATAAAAATTGAATTTTTTCTGCCTGGAACATCTGCCCTGACATCGGAAAATTTATTTTTAGTGTCTTTTAATCATTACGGACTGATTGGAGACTTTGAAGATTGGCGTAGAAGGATACTGGCCATCAGTTAGATACAGTATTAGAGTTTTGATAAAAAGTAATTCGCTTGACGAACTAAGCAACCTACATTATAAAAAGACCTTTGTAACATTGCTGAAATGTTTTGAATGCCACAAAAGTACTCACAGTGGGTCCCCTAATTAGGAAATACCTGTACAACGAAAATTGCATTACATTTTTTAGCTGGAATAAAGGGATTTACGAGGGTTGGCTCATAGAAGGAATGAACAGCCGAATTCCGTCATCGGAGTCGGATGCAATTTTTTTCTTTTGCTCCTCAATCCTTCATTGGTGTCTAATAAATATTTCATCCAGGTGGAACATTAATGGATCAATAGGAGCTGCGCACTTGCAGACTACGTTCAATATTGATCCATTAAACTTTACTTTAGTGGAGAAAATTGGCTGTGAGGTCTTCTTCTTGTCTCCATCTGTAGCTGAGTAGTGGATGAAACATTTTTTAGACACCAATGAAGTATTGAGGAGCAAAAGAAAAAATTGCATCCGCCTCCGACGACGGCATTTGGGTGTTCATCATCTTTCATGAATCAACCCTCGTACATAGCAAAATTTTTTCGCGTGACAAATTGTTTATGTCTGAAAAATGCTCATATGTTGGCAAGTTTTGGGCTAAAACTTTGGCACTTGAAAAAAACTGACTTTTGCCTATCTCTGGGTTCAACATTTTTGGAATAGAGGAAGTCGAGAGCACGAACTCTTCAAGATTACTTAAAGTTAACTCTAATCACTTTCAAATTTGAAGTTATGCTGAAAACCAGGAAAAATACAGAATCTGCTGAGGTTATGTTGGTATTTTCGTGAAATTCTGTAATGAATTAAATACTGCACTTTATAATGTAACCTTAAGGGAAATCGCGTTTCGCATTACGAAAATCCCACCTAACGAACGCATCCGTGAACGGATTAGTCTCTTAATGTGTGGAACCACTGTACTGTAAGCACTAGTACTTCATCATCTAACGATATGATTAAAAACTATTCCCGTAGGTACACACAGACCAAAGTGAAGCTCGGCTTGAAGAAAGTCCGGAAATGGGTTTTCACGAATTTTTATCATCCTGGTCGTCCGGAAAAGACCGGTTTATGCCACTGGATGAGAGTAGGCGAAGAGCATTTGGAATATCCCTTCGCCAAATTCTGTAGACGAATCGAGGTGCCTACTTTCAGCGAAGAAGAATTCGATGCATGTCTGTCAGATCTCGACGACACGTGGTCTTACGACGAAACAGTTCACCTGTTCGATCTCTGCAACCGCTTCGAGATGCGGTTTTATGTCATTTACGATCGGTTCGATCGACAAAAATATCCCGGGCGAAGTCTGGAGGATTTGAAGAAACGATATTACACTGTCATCAATGCGCTTCACAAGGTATGCACATCTTCACTTATGTTCATCTTTGAGTTAAATTATCCGTGATGGCAGTTTTTTTGCTACCGTGTCACTTGGAAAAGAAGAAGAAATACAGTCGTGTGTGTGAGAAATTAACTTGAGAGATGCTTTTTCAGTACAGTTTTGCATTTTGGAAGTCCATTTTCTGCTTGGACAGGTGGACCCTCTCTCTAGAACATAATTCCGGGGTGCAGGAAAATTCCGTTGTGGAGAACACGTATGAAAAAAAAATCATTTACAGAGAAAATCGTGGCAGAGAGAGCCTACCTGTGGTTCAAATTATCCTCAATAAGATCAATATTTTCAAGAATTGCGTCGATTTGAACCTATCCGAAAATTTAGACCATGTCTTGAACAAGCATTCAAACCTCAGACGTATTCTGATTTTCAAGACTTCCCATTAAAAAAAAATAACTTGTTTTGACGTGCGACGAAAAATAACGGGAATTTCAGTGCACTTCCCATGTAGGCTTAATGGTCTCATTGATATCAAAGTAAAGCATCGCGTGGGAGAAATGTTACGCGGATTACCATCAAGCGGCGTTCGTGTTTCATGGTTCGCGTATTTAAAAAATATCTGGAAAAAAGCTCCGTTTGAATCTGGGCTTAGCGGTCTCCTTGCTGAGAATCTTGTCGGATCGACGTGTTGTTTTTTTTATCAGATTTTGTATGATGTAGCTTGTTCTGTTTCAGGCTAGACTTGTTGAGCACGACGATGGGCATGATGTTGAAAGAGTTGGTGATGAAACGAAGCGGAAAAGTGAAATTAGGGCCCGGAAAACTCCTGATCCTCCGATTGAGGAACGTTCTGAAAATGCGGAAGCGTCCACTTCAACGCCCTGCGCAATTTCGGCGGTTCCTGGAACTTCTGGTGAATCAAAAAACAGCGAAATCAAGCAAGAAAACGAAGTTCGGACTGTAAAAATGGAAACGGGAGCCGGGAATGAGCAGCAGGGGGAAGAACAAGATGATGAGGAACTTGAGGAAGACGAGATGCACGAGAACGAGTCCGGGGATGAGGAACTACCCGATTTGAATGGAACTGAAGAAGTGGAGCATGGTTTGTCGAGGAGCGTTACCCCCGAGGAATTAACCTACAAGAACTACGGAGTAGGATTTTACTTCGACAACGAATTGGAACGCTTGCGGAAAATCCAACTCAACAGGTTTTTGTGCTTTTTATTTCCTCTTGCTAAGAGGATTTGAGCAGGAAGAAGGAGGACTTGAACATAACGAAGGAAAAAAATTGCTCAACGAAATCTAAAAAGATGATCTATGAAGATTTTATCCACTTCAAAAATATACTAGCAGCCGCATTTTCCTCAGCGCGTTAGAAAATGAAATTTTAGTCTTTTCATTTTCCGGAGAAGGTCCACCACTCAGAGGAAAATATGCGCCAACCCAAGTCAATTACTGTATGCGAAAATTCAAATACCGTATGCGATGTTTAAATTTTTTCTTTGTTACCACTTTTGTTAAAATGATTGTTTCCCTTGAATCCAAGGTACATGTGGATTAAAAAATGCTCTGGACAAATCTCATATTTTTGATGCATTATTGGCTTATTCCGTAATTTTTTTTTTTTAATCTAGATCTCTGGCTAGAACCGAGGAAGAAATCGAAGAGGAGGAAGACCTTCTGTCGGAGTTGAAACAGCTGCTGGCGCGAAAACGCGAAATGAAGAGAAAACCGCTAACCAAGGACATGCCCGAGGCGACGATCGAGAAAACGGTTGTGAAGCGGAAATCCGCTTCCATCCCTGGCACGCCGAGCTCCGTCCACAGCGAAACTGGAGCATCCGAGATCAAAGACTCGAAAGTGTCTCCACAGTTCGTGCTATGCTTTCCGGAACGAACTCGTAAGTTAATTACCAACGACGCATGGCGTATAGTTGTGCAGCACCGTGGAGCCTATTATGAGCCATGCATTTTTAAAAGCACAGTGCGTGATTCTCCGTGGAGTGATTTCTTGTTGCAAAAACTTCGTTGAACATCGGCAATTCTGCTTTCTTCTTTGTATCTAAAAAAAAAATGTGAAAAACTAATTCTGACTCTACAGTACAAGTACCGTATTCTAAAAATAAATGTTGACTCTCCCATGCTTTTTCGTGAACCAATTTGAGAAAAATTCTGAAAGCTGATGGTATTATTCGAAGGCATATACAATAGTGCGTATACAGTACAGTATTCTTGAAATATTTGAAACATTTTTAGTTGCTCCGAGGAATAAGAAAAATGTGTGAACGTAGATTTTCTTAGACCCCCCCCTATTTTTGCTGCGTGGTGTAGCATTTATTTCTGAAAAGTAATCTTGAAGTACGTCTTCAAGGGGAAACAAATTATTTTGTGATGCCCTATTAAAAAAAATGTATAAATGACGGAAAGAGAACGAATTTTTGTCCAATTTTCCAAATCATTCAATATTTTCGAAAAAAAAATGAAGTGAAATTAGAATTGTTGCTGCCTGTTGGGCGCGATGCAATATTAAGGTACTTTTCAGAGGGTATCTGTTCAAAGTACTGTACTGTATTCGAAAGTATAATTGAAAACAATTGACACAAGGAATTAATTGATGACAAGGCTCAAAGTGGCGTAGAATAATAGAGTACAATATTTCGTTCTACAAAAAGTGTGAGATAAGGTGTTTTCGAAGCGTGAAAAATAGAATTGACGTAGGATGAATAAATTGATCTCCGCCCGGAGTTGGATTAAATCAAATTCGTTCCAAAAAAATTGATGTGACGAAAATTCAGTTTTTTTATGTATTCTGTTGAAGAAAAGATGTGTTTGAAGCGTAACAAAAAATAATTGACGCACGACGGAAGCATACTTCTCCCGAAATTGCGTAAAATATTTGTTTTTGAACTGAGATGCTTCTATGCAGCGAAAGTCAACGTGAGTAAATTTGATGCAATACGTTCAAATAATTTTATGCATTTACCGTATTATTTTCATACGTTTTGAAGTGAAGTATTACCTGTTCAGCAAGAAAGTGCTGGTGATTAATTTTTTGCCATGCAAAGTACATTTCGTTAGCATTTGAAATTTTTCGTCCGAGGCATAAGCAGAGGATCTAATTTACCCCGGAAGGATGAATTGATTACTTTAATTGGCATTCGCATGAAATGCATCAATATGAAATTCTATGAAAAAAATTAAGTTGGATTTCTGTGGGAGGAAAAATAAAATTTTGCTTGTGGAAATTTGTAGAAAATTTGCGTTTGAAGCGTGACCGAGAAACACGATCGACGAAGCATATGGAGGAATTTGTTACGCGGTCCAAATGATTTTCATACTTTATTAGAAAGAAAATTTTGCCTAATTTGAATTTTGGATGCAACGAAAATTGAGTTTATTTCTGCATCCCGCGTCGTTTGAAGCGTAACCGAAAGGAAAAAAAATAATAATAATTGACGCACGATGGAAGCATTGATTGTACTTTGCTCAGAGTTGCGTAGAATAATAGTTGCCTAATTCGCGATGCCTCGTTACCTGCTCTCGGATCCAGCGACTCGGAAATGAAGCCCTATATTTCCCCCCGTGCGATTATCTCCCGCAGATTGCTACTCCGCATTGTCGCGGACGAAAGCGCCGGTGGACGAAAGTGCGGACAGCCGCCGAATGAAAACCCAGCTATCGCAGATTGATCAGTGCCTGACTGATCTCGGCGTCCCGAGTCTCACCGTCGGCTCCGACGACTTGTGCGAAAAGTACAACAAGTTGCGCATGAGCATCGCCGCCCTCTTCAATCTCAAGTATTCGACGGAGCACGCGCGAGCCGAGTTGCAGTCGTTGTGTGACCGGTTCCACGGCATGGACCCGGCGGGGTTGCAACGTTTGGGCATCGACCCCCAGCTGCTGACCCCGTTGGACGAGGTGAATGTGGAGTTGAACGGCAGTGACGGCGACGTGAACCGCGCGAGAACCATTTCGGAGATGCTGCAGCTGGAGGGTTCGATTGGCACGCCGACGCGGAAGCGGAAAGCGGCGCTTGAGCAGGGCAATGTGTTGAAAAAGCTCAAGTCTCGCGTTTGAGAGTGTTCCATCTCTTCTCCATTTCGAAAGAAAAACAGGTTTTTTTTGTCGTGTTTGTGTGTTGAGTGCAGAAATAACCTGCGATTGGTTCTTCCTTGTTGAAATCCTCCCGCTGTGATTCCGCCGTCGAGCAGGTGTCCATTTGTCAACCCGCTTCACGAGTCGAACGTCCAGCAGTTGATGTGAGAGGATAGGTTTTCCCTCATTCACAGTCGAACCCCGTTGAGACGCAAACGGCCAATTTATTTTGTAAAACGAATCTTTTCTTATGATAATAGCATGGGGAAACCCCATCAATTAATTTTGTTGATATTACTTAATGGTTAAAGAATGCGAGGCTTCAATTACCTGACGTAATGCTGCATAGGTTTTATCACATTACAGTATTTATTAGTTTTGTTAGCTACGGAAATGTTGAGTTGGACGCGTATGTTCGGTTACGATATGTTATTTTGGCATGTGTTTGGGTAGCCCTTGTCACAACAGGTTCACGTACGAAAGAAAATAGGAAACGGAATATGAGACGGTTTCAAAAAGGAAGTACCCAGCGAGTCCTGATTAACTTGGATGATGCGTTCGTTCAATTAGCTTCTTCCTTCTTTCCGTTTTTTTCCTTGAATCAGTATCTTCTTCCGATTGGCTTTTTTTTTGCATAGCGTGCGTTTTTTTTTATTGTGTTTTTGTAAAACACCACGAGCCGGTGTGCTTGAAATTACGGCGCAGCCAGTTTGCTAAAGTGATGGAAATTGAATTCACTTTTGCCCCTCGTGGAAGAAAGGTTCTCGGTTTGTTCTGAGCGAGAAGAAATTTGAGAGATTGCGTTTGAAGATAGCTTGAAACTGTTTCTTATTTTGACTGTTCGAATGTGTTCACGGGCTTTATTGCTAGAATCTTTTCGAAAATATTGCGAGTTATGTGCATTTCGTCATGGATAGCAGTCAAGGGTATTTTTTGTATAACTGTACCCCCCAGTCCGTTGTTACGATGGCCATTAGGAATGAATTGCACTGATAGATGCTATAGTTTTGTTAATGTGGCGCCCATTAGTTGATCTACGGTGAACATTTTTTAATAATTGACATACCTAGCTGCATTCTCCAACAATTACTGTATCTTACATTTTCTCGTGCAATTCTGGAATGTTCTTTAATCGCCTCCTTTAATTGTGCTTTAATATTTGATGAATATCTTTGTGTTGTGGGCACCCTGCACTTCGTGCGTAACCCACAAAGAATTTGGTACTTCGAAATTGAGAAATGTATGGCGGATTATAGAAATTTGTTGCACTACCCCCCCCCCCCGTTTTTAGCTCAAATGCTGTTAATTGGAGAGATAGGAAAGCGAAGTCAAATTAAATTCGCCGTTATTGCAAACGGGACCCATAATTCAAATCGAGAATCAGTGTCCACCGAAACACTTTTGGCAAAAAATCGTTTTTGCGAATTATCCATTACGTGGGGACATCACTTTGAACTCAAATGTGGCCTGTAGTTGCGTGAACACCTTGGAATATGTCTCTGATTATTGAATGCTTGTCATGATCATTTGCATTTCCTTCCAAAATGTACAAGAGGATGCTTGTATTCAGCACCCGTTTCAATTCGAGTGATGATAATTTTCAGTTGCATCTCTATTTTAGAAGAATGTTGTGATGACGCTTTTTTCGAGATGTCGTACGCGTGGGTCGGGATCTCCGCTGGTGCGATAATCACAGTGCTTTCGGTGCTCGGAATCGTTCTCATCAACTGTTACTTTTGTCGCGACCGGAATGCTGACGTCACGCGCTACAAGTCCTGGGTCGGCTCCACTGGCTCGGACCCGTCGGTGACGTTTCGGTACTGGTGTCGCCGCCCGACCACGCCGCCTGCTCTGGACGCCCACGAACTGGAGGCTCTGTCGAAACTGTACGCAGATCCGACCCGAAACCTCAGCCCTCCGTCCGAAGCCTATTCTTTGTGACGAACCTTGGAGCCGTCCTGCCGAAATTGCTTCGTTTTTCTGGATCTTGATGAGAAACGTGGCTATTTCTTTAAACTAATCCCAGCGGTAATGTCTCGATTAACTGGGCGTATGCGTGAAGTAGCAGGTGCTCAGGGATGCATAAAGAAAAATATATAGGCTTAATGACCGTATTTAAGTGAATGTACGACGCACCCTGGTAATTATTTTAGTGATACAGTATTTAGAATAAAATTTTGGGATGCAACGACATTGACTGTACGAAACCTACTAAAAAATAAGGAATTATCTTTGTTGGAAAAACCGACTCTGACAAGTGTTCTAGAATCTAGATCAATATAGAGAATTCTCTATACGTTCGGCAGGTCCAGGAGAATAATTTTTGAAAAACAGATCGTCTTTTATAAAATTGAGCCGAAGTCTATGAAAAGCCGATCTATTTTTCAATGCATTTTATATGCCTCAGATTTGAAGAATAGATCGGCATTTTCATGAACTTCGGCTCAATTCAGGTTACATCGTCCGTTTTTGAGGGGTTTCTATGCTCTCTGGAGTGTCGGGATCAACTTTGCTTTGGTTGTAGGAAATTCAAAACTTGAAATGATTCATCATAACTTTTTTTGTCTTTAGTCTCATGATCAAAAAATGTTTTTGTGCTTCTTGAAATAAGTTACAATCTTGTCTTAATGAAAGGTCAGAGGAAATGAGGACTAAGGTTAATCGAAATTTTGTATTGACTGTATCCAAAATGCCTTGATATTTTGTTACCCAAAGTAGCTTTCTTGATTGCCTTGGTCAACAATCAGAAAACTTATCCCACTTATGCGGAAACTGTGATACAATATCTGATTGAAGTCCTGTGATGTGAATACGTTGTTTCCCTGATTGACCTTGTTGATTCTTGTTCGGATGGAGGTGTGATGATTGTTTACCTCAAACACTGTTTCTGGGATACGATTTTGACCGAACATTCTTGAAATTGAGCTTATCGTTATTGATGAGCTTGAAGTGTTGGTCAAATTATGTTCGTTGTTGGGAATTCGTATCTGAAGCTTATTTTGAAATGTATTTTTCATGTTTATTTTTCAAATATTGTAGTTCATTCTTTAATGAAGAAAAATAATTTCAAGCGTTTACATTTTTAAACTACATAAATTGTCAAGACATGCGATTGAATGTGACACTTTCAAAAGAAATCGTTTTATTACGTACAATAATTTCATTCAAATGAAGATCGGTAAGCCTTGACACTTTTTGATCAGGACCAAATTGGAACCTTGACCCATTGCAATTCCTGTTTTACAATTAGGGCCGGATTGTATTCAACCAGAGAAATGCGGTCATCCGCAAAAGAAACAAAATTAAATGTAACAATCGGAATTCATCATGACACACACGCATCAGATACACCCTAACTAGCACAAATCAAAAGCTACTTCGTCAAAATTGGCCTTGTTGACGGATGCGCAATAATCAAAAAACTGCAAGCATCTTCTCACTCAACTATTCTCATGAATTCCTAACTGTCAGAAAGTAGACAACGCTAAATTTTGTACCCTTCAAGGATTGCCAGGATTGCTTCGATGTATCAGGAGAGTCATGGCTAAATCGTCAACACAGCCTCTAGGGCTAACCCCAGGCTTGCTAAGCGCAGTTACCATACTTCTCAGACTCCTTAGTCTAACGCATTCATCATATAAGACAAACACATAAATCAATAGTGTCCAGTTGAAAGCAGATCAACACGCACCAGCTTCAAGTGCATCAACTAACAATGGCGTTCTATCACAGGGCGAAAAGAAATGCTATCACTCGCCTTCGGCGCAAATTCTCCACTTACGAACAATTGAATACAGAATAACCATCCGCGCAATTGGACTTAATGCACCAATCCTTCCGAAAACTTACTTTCACTCAACTCCCATAAATCATCACAACCAGTGATGAGGAAGTCCAACCTTTTCTTTTTGACTATTTCCACGATCACCATCTCTTACACTCCACAAAAAAAAAAAAAAAAACGTAAAAGTGCATACGCGAACATCACGCGGAGAGGCACTCACGCTCAAGAAAACTCAAATCATTTAACATGCACAATCGCGCTTCATTCAAAAAAGAAGAAAGCATCAAAAAATTCCCTGACCATTAAAATCAAACGCTCGTCAAGAACACGAACAAAAATCCTCTGGAAGAAAAATAAAAGCGTACCGAATCAGGAAATCCGGGTTAAAAACAAAGCACCGGACCCGAACAATAAGGAATGTGTTGCGACAATCATGGACACGCTCAATATTTGTTTCCCTAAGCTGGATTCTCTCTGCTTCTAGCAGACATAAGACTAGAACTACCCGAGATTTCACTTTTCATATACGAGATCCATCGTTTCAACCTTTGGACTATAGTCATTTGATCACCGTGGATGCCTCTCGCTCTCTCTCTCTCTCCTTGATGAACACGCACGATTAAAACAAATGATGGACATGCGGTACCTTCGTTAGAAAATTCGGCAGGAAGACCCAACTCTAGTAAGTTGAGGAAGAATTACAAGAAGCTCGTTTCCTGTATCTCGTCGTGACAGGTTGGGTGTCCCGAATTCCCGAGGTCACGAGTTTACAGAACTGAATTCTTGCTCTCTCTGCTGTTCGAGAGCAACGTTCCGCTTTCCTCTTCTGGGATGGTGGCCGTCACGTCGCCGACTAACGATTTCGGCGGCAGGGGTCCTTGCGGCGGCGGCATCGCGGGTTTGGTGCCGGTGGAAGCAGTGGCCGAACCCGGCTTTCCCGCAGGAACATTCGCTAATGACTCCGACGTTTCAGTATCAGGCCTCAGCTGTGGGAATCATTAGAAAACACTTCATTGAGAAACTTACAAGGAACAGCAGTTGTTTGGATGCCATTCTTGGAAGAAGACAGATTTTTTAAAAGATCTTTTCAGGACAGATACATAGATGGCGTCATTTTAAAGTGAAAAGAGGAGGTACTGTACAGATAAAATTTGATCAGCGCTAATATTTGTCGCGGCACTATATATCAAGGGAGGTGTAGTTCAAAAGTTCTATTGTAGGCAAAATAAACTTATTTACATAATTATTTAGCCACTCAGTCCGTTTTAAAAAAGAGAAATCAACAAGAGATAATATGAAGCTCACATGTACTGTGCTTACATCACATTTTAAAATATTTTCAAGACAGAATATGTCAGATTTTTTCACCTATTATGTTTAGTGAAAGAGCAGAGCTGTTTCTCAAGACTTTGTGTGCATTTGAATTTTGTGTGAAATACCACTAGAAGGAAATCACCGATTTTTCCTCAATTGTCAAGATTTTCAATGAAGAAAGATGTGATGAAACAAAAAAATATTTTTCAACGATGTAAATCCAAGAAGTACAATTTTTGAAACATTTTTTTTTAAACTAAGATTTTTTGAGGCATTAAGTGAATTGGATTTGAGTTAGGGATTCCTTCAAGAACATAAAGAAGAAAATTTGTTTTAGGTACGTTTGGGGCACTAAATTGAGGGTTGACTGTACAGTAATTCAGCACCTGTCCAGTAAACTTTTACAGAAGAATTTCTCTCAAAAAATCAAAACGAAGAACTCAAGCCAATACTGTATTGCACTGTGTGAACAGTTACTCGTCGCTTGTTTCGACATCCTTGACTTCACCCGGCAAAGAGAACAATCCTGATTAAACTCAACCTGATAAGTGAGAGAAACAGCAGCTTCTTCATCTTTGGCACTTCTATGCTTGTCCAGGAATTCTTTCAGCTTCACAATGACTGCGCCGATCGTCAATGGCACCGGCATCGCAACCGCAGACGTTATCGGAACCACTGGAATCAACAAGGAACATGAAGTCAGCATACCATATCTATACTTGAATATAGGCCGCAAAATTAGTTGCACATTTTTGAAAACGAACAAGTGATTGCAGTCTATATTGCGCCTAGGGAACTTCTGCAATCATAGACCGCACCGGAATTCGAAATTATAACTGCTAAAATGTTTAATTTTTTCATCCGAGGAAAAATGCGGGCCAAAACAGCGGCGAAACTGCATGTTTCTGTAACCGTTCCAATCGCAGAAACAGTATATAAAGAGTTAATAAAATTTTGCACAAATAAGACTGTGTTGCGGCTTATCTTCGAGCACTGTACCTGGAACAAAATAAACTGGAAACGGAACGCATCGGCCGCAACCGAAATTTAGGCCACATTTGTTCAAGAGAAAAGTGCGGGTTATCATGGCGTAAATACGGTGTTTACGAGATTTCTGCCCTTTATTTAGCAAATCAATGATTGTCAGTGGGACTGGCTCTTCTCCAATAAAACTTGAAAAAAATTGTCAATGCGAAAAGTCCAAATTTACGCCACTTCGAAAAAGTATTCAAGAATACGGGCAGCATCATTTTAGTCGATGAGGTCAATAAACAAGCACTGTATCTCAAATTCAAGTCGCTCCAGTCCTTCAATATCAGTCTTTGCATAAGAAATTTGAGACACAGTGAATTTTGTACAGTTGAACCTCAACAACTCGAACCTCCGTAAGTCATGCCAATTTATTATTTTTTCAAGTCCATGTCTGAATTCCTTTAGAAGCAATGCATTTAAAATCTCTTCAACTCAAAGGCTTTCCTCGGAATTCCATAATTCGAATTTCCTGGAGGCCTCCTGGCCATTCTTTCACTGACACAGGAAAGACAAAAGGAAGAGAAGGTCCACTTGATTCGTTTTGACGAGAAGTGAAAGACTAATTGGGCAAATAAACACGTGCCTCCAAGTTCAACACCCTGCAAACCCATTCAAGAAGCAATCTAAAGCAGTGTTCCTCAACCTTTTTGGGCTTGCGGACCTGCAAATTTTAATAAAATCCTTCGCGGACCAAAATATTTTCATAAAATTTTAAAATACCTGCCATACAGTCCTCAGAACAAAACTTTGATTGCAAACATTGAGTTGTAACCCGTGAAGCAGCATGAAGTGGCGATTTCTTTTTAAAAATATGATGCTGGGATTTAAAAAAGGTTTCTCAGGTTGAAAACTGGAAGTATTGTAAGTTTGTAACATATTTCAGCAGGTGGAATAAATACATCTGAATTGCTTTTGGAGGAAAACCAACAGATGATTTCAACTGCCATTGTCTCTAAAATGTTGGATTGCAATAACAGACTTCATTACTACAGTGATTTTGATAAATTTATTATGTGGAATAAATTTTCCCGCGGACCGGCAAAAAACTTCTGCGGACCATGGGTTCGGGAACACTAATCCAAAGCCTAGAATATCGCCAATTACAATTTCCCACAATGCTTCTCTCACCAACACAAATGCTTGTTTCCCTAACTCGAATGCCTTTGCTAGTCTCTTGAAGGTCGACATGAAAAGGTTCGACTGCACACAATTTTCATTTCTTCAAAACGTGGATAAATCGTCGAAAAACAAATCACGGTACCCAGTGTCATGTCAGCGTCCAATTGCGGCAGTGAGAAGTAGAGGAACAAAATCGCAACTCCCATATTCTGAATCCCGGTTTCGATAGCGATCGCAATTATGTCTTCCTTGCCGAAATTCAGCATTTTCGACACCACGGCGCCAAAGACGAATCCCACCCAGATGAGGCTCACGGCGCTCGTAACCACCTTGAGGGGGGAAAAATACAAAGAAAAAACGTTCAATGCCGAATCATTTTTCATCACAGCTGCAACAATTGAGATTTTCTCCGACCGAAAAATAAAATCCTGCGTCGGTTAACGAACGTCCGCGCATAAGAATAAATAACTAAAGGCGCAAAATGTATAGTTCCAAAATTAAGCTGGACGTTATTGTTCGGACTTTCATTACTCTCTTTAAAAAAAAAATTCAAGTGACCAAAAAAATGTTTAGTCGAGAGAATTTGGTTGCAGAGAATCCAAATAACATCGTTAAGAGAACCCTACAGTCCAAAAAATCTTCATATTGTACAGAGAAAATAATTGTAGACAAGATACTCGTAGATAGAGTCCATCTGTATTGAAGGAATCAAACATGATCACCAAGAGAAAGTAATTAGGAATCAGACGCACTTTTTTAATTTTGATTTTTATTAATTTATTGTCGTCTTGAAATCGACGGCATTCGTACAGATTCGAATTCAATTTGTGAGTTAGTGGGGTGGTTAAAAATAGTGTATGTAAACTCTAAAATTCTTTGAAAATATTTTCCCCTCTGAGAATAAGTTAAAAAAAATCCCTTGAACTAATGGAAGTGAACTAGAAATTTTATGCGCTAATTTGAGAAATTTCTTGCAAAATGTTCTTTTTTTTCAAGCTTCTCAAGAGTGAATGAATAAAAAACGAAAATAGAATAACGGAGCAAAAGCAATTCAAATTTAAGGGTAATTACAGTACAGTACTGTATTTTAAAAACAATTAATTCGAATCGGATTACAAAACTATGCTTTCATCAACATTTCATCCATAGCCAGCAAATGTACTTCGTTCAAAGCAGAATCCGCTATCCGAAGCTAGATTCGGAAGCAGCAGAGCACCTTTTGTAAAAATGCATTATGCGACATGTCTGCTTCCGCGTCCATTATCCGGAGCAACACGATATACAGTATTCCCAAATCCAGACACACAATACATTACAGTACTAATGCACATGGTATTTAAAACGTAACACGACAGTAAGTATTTATCAAGAGCAATCGGGAGCCGCACGAGCTTCGTCAACACCGGAAAAAGTCGACGAAATCGTGACATAGAAAAATAGTAGAAGCAAAAGAGGAGGGAAGCGGAGATGCATGCGAACAAACGGGAAGCAGTGAGACACGAAGGAGACACATGAAATGAAAAATAAAAAGAATATTCCCCCATTGAAAAAAAAAAATCACCACATGCTGTTTTGTCATCGAGATATAAGCCACTGACCTCCCAAGTGAGCAACCGGATGATATACAAATTCGCATAAATGCCAAAGGTGAATATATAGACGAGTAGGATGGCAGAGAGCGGCTTGATGATACGGACCAACCAGCCAGCAAGCCGCGGGAATATGCATCGAATCAGGATTCCGATCGTGATCAGCGCAAGCAGGATGACTATCATCAGGCCTATTTTCTCATAGGGAATGTAAAGGTCTCCTTTTTTCAGGATAATTCGTCCCAGGGAGAATATCCATGCGGGCATCATTGCTGCGGACAGAGTCGAGGGAAAAAAAGAAGGCGAAAAAGAAAGAAAGAAAGATGGAACTCACCATTCAAATCTGTCCTCAACACCCCACCCCCAAACCAGGTCATCAAAATGGCGGACATTTACTCCCCACAAAAAATCATCTCAAACCCAAGCATTTATTTTCAAATTACAGTAAAATCTTGTTACAACAAACTTTTGCGGGTTGATGTAGAAAACAATTTTTATTGAGATTTTCAAAATTTATGACAAACCATTTTCTTTAATCGACCTGCCTACAATAAATCTTGCTTTTCTGGCATTCTCAGATTTCATATTTTTGTGTGAAATACTGAGCAATCTTCTGGAATTTCTTTTAGCTTCAATCATGCATTCCATCAGTTGCACCAATTCTCCTCTCAATCTGGGAGGATGATGCCTGGAACCACTCAGATGTCTCAGAAGCATGTTAATCATTGACCATAAATCTTCCATTCACTCTAAAAGAACCAGCCAGTACCATTTTGGATCAGAAAGTTCAGTCTGTGCCTGCATTAGTAAGTCGGGAAATTTCTACCTCAAAAATCTATTAAACATTCTTCAAAAAAAGTTTTTTTTTAAATACAGTACTGGAATTCAGAAATTTGTTACAACTTAGATCAGTATTCCCCAACATATGGTCCACAGACTGGACCATATGTTTGAGACAACGCGTTTGTATCTGTTTCAATAAAATTTCTGACGACTAAGGATAATAAACGAATTTTGAAGAGATGTAACCTGAAAATTAAAAAGGTTCTTGAGAATCTTTCCCCACCGCCTAACCATTTCCAATCGGTCTTCCGCCACTCGAGGGAATTCCAGCATCAAGGATTGATTGCTTGATTAACTTAATCGATTGTACACGAGGCTACGAATTACGTATCAAAGAAGCGTTACCACAACCATAAATTTGCGGATATTCAGAATAAAATGTAAAAAGCCAAAGGAAAGGAATAACATGCACTTGGAAATTCCAACCCGAAGTCACAACAATAATAAATGTGACACGAAAAAAAGAGGGAGATAAAAATAATCGACCCGCACCAATACTGGATATAAAAAAAAATGAAGTTCCACACCAAAGACGTAACTTACCAAATGCAGCAAGCGTCGAAATGAAAGTCATGGTAATGCTTAAATTAATATTTCCGTTCAAAACCACGGTCCAAATGTTGGATGCACCTCCGCCAGGGCTGATCCCAGTCACAAACAGACCCAGTTGTAAAGTGGGTTCCTCAAAGCACAACTGCGATAATGCGAAAGAAACCTGCAAAAAATAAAAAATGAAGGAATGATCGTCAAAAAAAATCACTTGCAGAACTGCAAGTAAAATTTGCAATCCCTCATTTCTTTCCTTTGTCCATATCAACAACCAATTTTTCAAGAGGGTGTAGATGTCACTGGTAGTAAGGATGAAAAATTCAGAGTCCTCATGAGTCATGCTAAATAGAGTACAGGTGGTACCTTGCAATTCAACCATCCCGAAATTTGACAGTAAAATTTGCAGGGAGGTTGACTTGCATTTTGACCCTTGCCCTGCAATTCGACCTGCGTTGGCCATATTGTTTTTGCGTTTTTGAACCTACTGTATTTACTTGAGTACCATGCGCACCTTTTTTTCTCAAATTTCATAAGAAAAAAAGGTGGGAACGTCATAAGCGGGTATAAATTTTCCAAGAAGTTTTAGGAAGTTATGTGTGCATTATACTTAATTATAATGGAGAAGTTTGGAACAAATGTAACAAGAAAACTTTTTTGTACTGAAACAGTTGAAAATTGATCAGATTTTTGTTCAATTCATGTCTGAAGTCGATTTTTTTTTATTTTTGAAATTTTGTGGTTTTAGAAGTCACGAAAAATTGGGGTGCGCGTCTTACTTGGGGATAAGATTTTAGCAAAATTTCCGACTGAAAAACCACTGTGCGCACGTTACTCAAGGGTGCGTGGTACTTGAGTAAATACAGTATATTTTTGAATTTCACAGACTGTCTTGCAATTCCACTGATTCGCAATTCGAACCTAGCATGGCAACAGATTAGGGTCAAAATGCGAGGTACCACTTGTATAACTAAAAGCTGAACGTCGTTACCTAGAAGAAAAGATGCAGACCAATTTTTTCATACTAATCCCAACATTTCGCTCAAGAGTTGAACTGCTTTAAATGCAGACTTTTAAACTGGCTGCTCAAGATATTTCGAAAATACTGTATTGAAATTTTTGGTACAAACATCGCTACCTAATATTGGCCCCGAATATTTCACGCAAACGAGTTCTCTTCAAGTCTACAGTACAGTGGCACCTCGACATACGGATACACTCGTCAAAGGCGCGTGTAAATATAGCATTAATTTCCGAATTCGTGAAAAAAAAAAACTCACGAGAGGCATGAAGCCGTATTGACAGGCCAAGCCCACGGCAGGAGCAACGGGTTTCATCACCACTTTCTTGACCACATCAAAATCCAGCGTGCTACCCATGTTAATATACGCCATCGACACCAGGGCTATGATGGAGTAGATGAAAATGTGGTTCAGCGTGTTCATGGGGCGCACGACGGACACCGGCAGGCGCCGTTGGGCAAAAATCACTCCTTGTTTATTCTTCAACACCAGCTCCACTTCCGTGCGTCCCAGGAACCGGCCCCTGAGCGTGAACGTGAAATTGTCGCCAAACTCGTCCGTGTCGTTCAAGTGAAACACCGTCCGGGTCGTGATGTTCACCACTTGGTCATTCAGCACTTTGAGGGTGATGAGGCAGTCGTCGGGCAGGGAGGACAAGTCCAGGGGCTTCCCGTCCGGCAGCACGGGTGCGAAAGACACTTCGGTGGAGTGGATCTCCTTGAGGCCCACGATCTCGTCGGGAGACAGCGTGAAGTTGAGCAGCATCATGGGCGAGAGAGCGGCGAGGTCGAAAGGCACGGCCGAGCCCCAAGACACCGAGGAACGCAACAGGACCAGTAGGAAGAACAACAAGCTCGTCCATGAGTACTCCATTGCTCCTACGGGTTCCAATTCATAATAAAAAATTTAGAAAATTCGACTTGACAAGCATTCAGGCAAACATCCACATTCAAGTGATTCATCGGATAAAGAAAGATTACCCGTACTTACTCGAGTAACACGCGTGCACCAGGGGTTCTTCGTTGAAAATTTTGATAAAATCCTATCCCCGAGTACGATGAAATTTTCAATGACTCTAAAACCACAATACTGTACATCAAAAGTAAGAACACCAAAATTTGAATTCTGACATGAATTCTACCAATTTCCAATTGTTTTCTATTGAAATACAGTAAAATCTCATAACAAAAAATATCGTTTATAAGACCTAATGCTCACAACGAATTTGTTTTTCCAGCCCCTGTCGCAAAGCCACGGGGTTATTTCAATTTTGGTTCAACGGATTTTCGTTTAAAACGAAGTTTTGTCAAGGTCCCAATTGCTTCGTTGTTGAGAGATTGTGCCATACTTTCTTTTGCTGAACTTGGTGCACATCTAAACTTTAAAACTTTTTGAAAAAGTTAAAACACGCCTATGAAGCGCATTCTTTTTTTTTCGTCTTAAATTCGACAAAAAGGTGCTCGTGGTTATTGAGTCCCCGCATAACGAAATTTTTCAAGGAAAAAAAGCGATTCGCGCGACAAAAATGTTCAACACGATGGATTTTTTTGACCAAAAAACTCTAAATACAGCGGCACAACAAGTGAAAGAGAAACCAGAACGCATAAAACCAGGCGCAACAACAATGAAAACATGCGGCTTTCCATTACGAAAATACAAGATTTGAAACCGGATATTAAATATTTGACACGTACTTTCCGTAGGAAGATAATCCTCGGCAGGATTGGCAAAAATGTCTCACTGTACGGGACCGGAAACCGTCCACTTCTTGCCACACACACAGAAGACCACTTTCATTCATTCAGCACCATTAGCGAAAACACAAAACAAAGGTTCACTTAGGTACCTGCGGAATACGAAGAAAAAAGATAAAGCGGATGAATATTCAGTCATTTCCTCTTCCACAAGGAAATTCTCACTCAAAAAATCCTTCAATAACCAACTGTCATTGCTGCTGATCACAATACGAACGGACAATTCCACGTGCAATCCCAACACAGCACATGAAACTCAAAATTAAATTATACGCACGGGAAGAACGGACACAATTTCAAAAATCCTTCGAAAAATAATATCCTCTGAAATTAAAATAAGGCTACGTACATCATTAAAATTTCGATCACAAGTCTAAAATGAATGTCACTTATACAAACCATTCGATTTGATTCCGTTTGAAAAATCACACGCGGGACAAGGATACTGCTTGATGATCGAACTCCATCCTACAATTGAAAACGATCACGAGAAGCGCCGCGACACGGATTTTCATTTTAAAAATCAGTCTTGCCATTATTCGAATACTATATAATTTTGTTTCATACAAGGGGTCCAGAACGTTACTGTTGAGTGAAATGTTCAGCCTTTTTGGCGCTTCTAATCTTTGGATAGAACCATGAACATTGAAGAACCAAATTGAAAAAAAAAACTTCGTCGGTGCAGGACTATTTGTTCCTCATTATTGAATACTAAGTCCACCCGGAACCTAACGAACCCATGTATGCTACTTGTCGTAATACTACTACTGTACTTCTACTCATGAAAACAAAGCAGTAACCCGGAAAATAAAAATGAATGTGAGATGACTCCGCATGAAATTAAAATACAGGTGGACCTCGATAATTCGAACCTCCTCAAGTCGAATACCTCCCTATGTCGAATTTTTTCTCTGAATTCCCTTCGAAACAATGCATTGAAAACCTCCCCAACTCGACGGCTTTTCTCGTCAAACCTCCATAACTCAAATTTTCCGGAGGTTTTACGGCTATTATTTTCTTGACACAGGAAAGAGAAAAAAATGTAACTTGATGTGTTCTGAAAGGAAGTGGAAGACACATCGGGTAAATCAACCCTTGCTTCAGAGTTCAGCATCCGTCTACACATTTAGGAAGCAATTTAAAGCTTGGAATATCACCAATTCCAATCTCCCGTAACTATTTATTTTGCCCAACACAGATACTGTACTTGCCCTTACTCGAAACTTTCCCCAACTAGAATTTTTCTGGAGATCCCTTGACGTTCGACTCGAAGAGGTTCGACTGTCATCATTTGTGATGCGAGATATTAGGCCAAAATAAATCTACGGAATAAACAAAGAAGGAAAATTCATCAAACGGAATACAAACGTCTCACTGCACTGTAATTTTCTAGACGCATCTTTCCACTAATGTTACTAAAACCAACCAACTTGACGACGTCGCACAACACAAAAAAAAACAAATCACAACCCTAGACACTGATCGCCAGACAAGCTCGTGCACCAAAGAAAACGGAACGAATTGTCACGGCCTCCTTGGAGATCTCGAAAGTTCCACAAGTTAATTCTTGTATCACGCACCTCGTTTTAACCAGCCCGCCAAAAGGTGTTTTTTCACACGAAAGTCACAGAGGTTTGAAGGATTCGTCAAACTATGGGCTCACCGCGACCGAACAACAGGAATACCAAGCACCCTGACACGTTAATTAACGCACAAGTACCGAAAACAAAGCCCCAGCTCTTCGTGGTCTCCAAAACGTAGCCAGCGAAGTAAACTCCTACGAATCCCGGTACTGCTCCTGCGGAATTGAGCACTCCGAAAATGCTACCAGTGTGTTTCGGAGCAATATCCTGCAACAAGATGCAACATACAGTAAGTCCCCGAATAGTGAAAGACACACACAAAGAAAAATTCAAATTACGAAAATTCTTGAGAGGAAAAACGTGACTCATGCGACAAAAATGTTTCATTAACAAAATTTGTTGACTGCAGAACACCCGGATTTCGGGACAAAACTTTGCTACTTATAAAAAAATTGACCAAAATTATGAAGAAGGGTATAGTTTTGCTCTTCTCGTTTTTTTTTCTGAAATTTAGAAAGTTAAGAGCACAAACTTGTCAGGATAACTCCAATTTAACACTAATCAATTATAAATTCACAAATGTATTTTGAAAATCAAGAATAATATGCAGTTCTCAAGGATTATTATGGACTTCAGGAAAGTTTCTGGAAGGAATAAATTGATTTATATTGCTGTATAACCTTGAGGAAAATCGCGTTTTGCATTACGAAAGTTCCACATAGCGAAACGCACCCAGGAACGGATTAGTTTCGTTATGCGGTGACCCACTGTGAAGGGATGCATGAGGATTCATAAATTACAAAGGTTTTTTCAATAGTGTTGCCAATCTTTATCGCATCCGGGAAATCCAAGCATCCGGACAGGATTTAAATAATCTTAACGGGATAAAATTCAATCCTTCCCTAATTTTTTTCTGTTCTCCGAATGACGGAATCATGTGAGCCGCCAACATGTGTAAGCGACGAAATAATTCAAACAAATCCAAACCAAACCAAAAATCAGATTTGAAAAGCCTCTTTCCAGAATTAAAAAAGTTAAACGTCAAGTTAAATTATTCAAAGACACTCTACTATAGTACTGACAATATTTCCGAATAAAAACTTTTACTCCTCGGAAGTTATCCGAATCCTGTAACAAAACTGACCTGTATATTGCCAAGAGCTCCGTTTCCGTGGAATCCTCCAGCGGAAATCGCAAGAGTCGCCATCAGAAGAGCATAGGAAAAATTTTTCGTATTGGCAATAGTCAAAAGGGCCACGGTTTGCAAAGAAACACAAATGAATTGCACAATTTTTCTCGTCGCCGCGGGCGACAAGCCACGAGACAAAAGTCCCTTCGCCACCCAGGATCCCACAACAGTCATCGGCAAATGGAACACATACGGAAATACATTGAATATCCAGCCCTTAGCATCTACAAATACCTAAATAAAAATGTTTATTAGAAAAAAAAAGCTTCACACATGAATTTGCTACGTACCTCGGCAAAATATGTCGGCATCCAAGAAATGAGAAGAAACCAACAGAAATTCTGCGCCACATGACAAATAATCACAGCCCAGAGCGAAAACTTCGACAAGTAAGCACTCCACGGTATCGGTTCGTTGTCGGATCGATTCACTAGCAAAGTGGCAGGGTCACTTAAAGTGACAACCCGATTCGACGAAACCTGCTCAACACAATAAATTCTCCTTCAATATTACAAGTAATATTCATCATTAATCTTTTGAAAAAGGGTGTAAATGAACAACATACGCGAAGATTTGCCGAATACAGAGCCCATAGCCAGATCAGCGATAACATGGAGATCACGAGGAAAACCATCTCCCATGAAAAAGACGCCAAAAGGAGACTTCCAACAGAACCTGAAACAAAATTTTCCAGTTGACATTTTTTATCTTCAAATCGTAGAGAAGCGAAGGATTTGTATAAGAAAATTGAAAATCAGCCATATCCTATTTTTTGAAGCTGCTTGCGAACCCAATTTTACGAATCGTTCAGAAGCTTCCGGTGGGTAAGACATATAACTATACTGTATAAGCGTTCAACTTCACGAGAATGGGGCTTTCTAAAAAGGTTTTCGAATTTTTCAACCAATAAAACCTTAAAAAAATCCACTTGACCTATCATATTTCCTAGAAGAACGGAGAATGGCTCAACTTCCGGATGGAACTACAGTATGAAATGCTGGCCTTATTTCCAAAGTTGCAAAATTACTCGGATTATGGCGGCTGTGAAAGTGAAATTAGATCAAAACCACGCATTTTTGCTTTTTCAATCACTGCACACAAAAAATGGCCTCAAAAACATTCCGTTCAGCTGTTCTACGATAAAAAAAAATTGTACTGATACCGAATAGAGCTGGGATTGGAATACCATTCCGATACAATGAAAAAATGCGATACAGTACTACCTCTATTTTAGGGAATATTTAAAGTGGAATACGGCGGTTTCAAAAAAAGATGATCCTCAATTCTTCATAACCTACCCGAACTTGACATACGAATAAATTAGCCTTAAATTTTAAAACTAGTCTAAAAATAAAAATAAAACGTTTCGAACAATAAAACACGTTACCTATAAAAATTGTGCCCAATGATGATCCCGAAGACGCTCGGGCAAAAAAAGCACTTCTTCGCAATTTACTGAGTTTCCTGGAACTCAGACTTGCGACAGCTGGGAAGAACATTCCTTGAGCACCACCCATTATCACTCGAACAACGAGCAAGGATTGAATCACCCACGTTTTTGAGCCGGCGAATAAATGGACCACCACAGGGTGCATGAAAGTCATGAAGGACCACACCATACTGCTCCACAGAAGCACAACCTCTCCTCCGATTCTATCACTCAGCGTCCCGCCAGGCACCTTCAAAATTTGAGAGAACTCGTCAGAAATGGAAAAAAATATTTGAGACACCAAAAATATTTCGAAAATCCGCGATAATCAGCAGTTCTCATCAATTAAATCGATCAACCGACATTTTCGTGCATTTTACAAGAACTTATTCGATGTACAGTACTCCAGACATGACCAACTTTAAAAAAAAGTCACTAAATCGGCAAGCATAAATTTGATTTCATTACGAGTAGGACAAAAAAAGTATTAAATATCGCATGCTGTTCCGGCTGGAGAACTCGGGCCGTAACAGGACATTTTTATTTTTTCCTCGTGAAGTAAAGTCAAAAGCTTTTTTTTATTTCCGAAAAAAAAATTACAGAACCTTTGAACATCATTGGCTATGTTATACTTTTTTTTTAAATCATCACACGTACTCTAAAAATATCAGAGGTCGCGTCCAACACAATCTTGGGACAGTCTCCGTACATGAACTCTGGAAGATGAACACTCGTCAAATGTCAATATTTTCGACACTGACGCTCGATATTTCTCACTTGAATCAATAACCTGAAAAGCATTCGTTCAAGCTGACGGCGATCGATGTTTAAAGCCTGAAGGCAAACTTCTCCATCGTCTCGAAATTGAAATGCACTTATACTAGAAAGCAGTTTTGTAAACAGCATCACAAGAACATGAAACACACACACAAACCACAGAGGCCTTCATTGCAAAAGCTGCTCAAAAATACGGAGAGTTCTATTCATACCTGAGTCAACGCATATCCCCAGAAAAAGGCGGAAAGCAGCGAGCCCGAGTCCTTCTTGGACCACTTTTGCGAAGTGGACATGGCCACGAGACACAACGGCATCGTCACACGAGCTGCATAAACCACTGCCGCTCCGATAGTGAGCAACAACAACCACTTCCGGGTTTCCGCTTTCGAGAAGAACCCCGGCGATGAACCGGCACCTTCGCAATCATCACTCAATGGGTCGTACACCTTCGCACTGGTCCCCATTGTAGCGGGGTGAACCAGATCCACCCACTCCTCTTTTATTCGAAAATATAAATCAGAGACAAGCAATTATTTTTTTTCTCGCGCACCGCCAAAATAATCGTCATTCATGAGTGTCCTTCCGTACACCAGTTTTCGAGGAATTGAGCAGAGCAATATTGAACTGCAACATCACTTCGACTAAAAACGTTGAGAACCCGTGATAAGACTTACACCCCCATACTGTTCGAGCTCATCAACGATATGTAAAACTTATGAGTTAATTTCCAAAGGGCCAATCAAAATAAGCTTGGTAGTTTCCCGAACTCAAAAACTCCTGGAGTAGAATTTTTTGCTGGTCACTTAAAATTCGACTTGAAGCGGTTCAACTGCTAATCGAAAAAAAATTACGGCAAATTATGAGAAGGACACACATGAGGACGACATGGAAATTTTCACAAAATATTCAGTGATAGCATTTTTGATATTGGAACACAAACGGTGGCAGGATTTCAACAAAAGCCCCCTGTCACAGGATATCACATCAGTCACACGATCCTTTGCATATAAGTCCAACGATTCCGGGGGAAAAAACAAACAAACATAAAAACGCTGTCAGTGCATCTTCCTCCATACATGCACACGACGTGACGTTCGGCAGGAAAACGAATTCATCCGAAAGGTCGAAACAAGAAAGTCACGTGGGTGAAGTGCGGTCCAATGACTGCGATCTGAAAAACAAAATCAACCGGGAGCAATCGGTTAGATAAAACACGCGCAGTATTTCTTCCAGCGCAAAATCTGGAAGACTCGGCCCAACAAGTGCTATCAACTGTGGTTGAACGAAATTCAATAAGACCATTTTTTCAATATTCTCTCACCGAACACCATGAAGATAACTCAAACGGGCAGGACCGAATTGACGTTTGAAGACTGCGTGGCCACGGGTCGATTCCATCTTTATATTCCTCGCGGCAGTGCGACGAGAAAATTCAATCTTCGCCATTTCCGTAGCGATCCAGGACGGTATATCGGGGATACAATATCTCAATAGTCCTCTCAAAATGAGCATCACGTGCTGCAACCCCCCAGAAAATTCCATAGATTCAGAATAATCAACCGGCATTTCATTGATCGGGAATTTCTGCTAAAAAAAAAAAAAATTAATCACCTCTAAAAGAATAATAAGTACGAAGGTTCCATGAGGCGGAAGATCGGGAAATATTCGTTGGATTTGCCCCGACTGACCGATCAACGCGCAATTGACTAAAATTGCAATAATTCCCATCCACTCCATTGCATCCTGTTGGAAAATCGAAAAATCCAGAGAAAAAGATCTCACGCGCAATAAGAATTCACGCAAGAAAACACGTCAACTAAATTACTTGCGTCATTGAATCACTCCACCAACATGGAAGTTATGCGAATCATCAACAACTTTCATTGCAAGCGAATGGAACGCACCTCAGCGGAGAATTTTTCGCTGATTTAAAAAGAGAACATCGTCACCCCTTACGAACATGTGAAATTGAAATAGAAATGAATATACTGTAACTTTAACTTGTTGGGGGCATGAGGAAGGATTGAAACAAAAATTTTCTTATAGTGAGGATCATCCACTTTGGCCCGGAATTTCCCGAAAACACTGAAAGCACTTCTAGAGTGGTAACCTGTTTTGTTCAAAAACTGCATCCACAGCCAACCTAGGTCCATCCGTAGTTTCTAATTTTTGGCACTCATAAATATTAATACCCGTCTTACAAAAATGTCCGCCCATATGATTTTAAATTAATTTAGCAACGGTCAGATGAGATTTGAAAATCTTTTCCCCCGTTTTTTCATTTTATTTCTCGTCATAGAGCACCAAGGAAATCAACAACTTTTTCAACAACACCTGTTTTCATGAGAATTTTCAGAATTTCTTCAATCCGCATTAATTCGTACTGTATACAGTAATTGGCTTAATACTGTAGTACGAACCTGCCAAGCGCCGATGCCTTGCACGCGTTCTCCAAAAGGTCGCTGTAAAACGTAGCAAAGCTTGAAAGCGTCGGTGCGAATCTCGATAATATTGTTGAACAAAGCCCACAAAGAGGCAAGCGGAAAGGCCGAAGAAAAAAAAGCCACGTAGCCGAATTGAATGAAAAGTTCCGAATAATCTTCGAACGTTCCATCATACTGTTATGCAGAAAATAGAATAAATATATTTCGCACAGGTGAATATTTCATATACCAGCAGAATGCCGTTTGGGAAAGTACCTTCGGCATTTGCAGTTCCAGCTCAGCCTGGCTCACAGTTCTCTGAGGCGTGGATGAACGTGAGGGCTCTTTTTCTTCGTCTTTACGTCGCTTTCTTTGCCTGACCTAGGATGGAATGTCCTATTCAATTTCAAGATAAAAAATGCAGTATTTTTGCGAAAATCGTGGTACTATACAGTATTAACAAGCTCCAATAGACATCGGAGTGGAAAAAATCTGTTCCAGAATTATAATTTACATGACTGGTTTCGTGTCTATCCAGTAAATTACCCATTTAATTGGATTTCACAGAGAACACAGCCTTTACAACATTAGAAATTCCTTAATTTTTTATATAAACTCGAACTCAATTTTTTTCAACGGTCTCAGTTTTGATCAAATTTACATTTGCGTACAAAATCAGAACCTTTTCTGCGATTTTTCTCCTGACAATAAACCACATAAGAAACTCTTCAAAATGTTGATGGTATTCTTTTCTCCTCACCCCACGATTTTTCATAACCTCAACCATTTAACTTCTGAAGTTCGTAAAATTCTTTGAGACAATACATCCGTCAAAATTTCTTAAAATAGGTTAGTAAAGATGAACTAGGATAGTTAAAATTACGCTAATTGCTTTATTTTGGTTAACTTACGAACAGGCGACACCTATGTGAAACTCCAAGAAAGATTGGAAGTAGAATGAACAAGGTGTCCTCACAGGACATTTTTGTAGACGGGATAGAAAAATAAAAGTATCCTATAGTTCATGTACTGTACTGAATACTGTATCTGAATTAGCACCCATCATACGTCAAGGGATATGAGCTACTGTACTTTATTACAGGCAAATCTGAGCACACATACGGTGATTTTCTGCTCAATAATGGAAGAATTCTTACTAAAAATGAAATTGCTACTCTTAAATTCAAATACAGTAAAATCTCATTACAACAAACACTGTTATAACAAAGTTGTCATAATAACCAACTTTTTTCCCAGCAGAAATCCTAAAGGCTACATGCTATAAAAATCTTCTTAGAAGAAACTATCCAATTCCAGTATCAAACAACTTTTTTGAGGAACATGTGGTGATTTTCTTAATGAAAATTAACCAATGAAGGCGGGCAGTCTCAAATTTTTCATAGTTGAAAGAAAAAAAATGAACCCAGCAAAACGTATCTTAAATATGGTTTCAGATGCTTGAGAAACCCTACTGATGCTCAACAACTGTAAGCTTTTTCGAAACATGCACCCTTACAAATCTGTGCAGGAATTGCTTAGAAAAACTTGAAGTCTTCAATAAGTGCGAGCGTTTACCTGTTGTTCAAAGTAAATGCTTGTTATAGACAATTGAATTTCTTTTCTCAATTATTCAAACATGGAAAATCATCTGAAGAGACTACAAAAGGAAGATCTTGAATAATTCAGTTTCATTTAAACAGACTTCAAAGTCAATAATTTCGAAAATCTATTATACAAAATTATTTGCAAAAACAAACTTTTTCTGAAGTCCCCACAAATTTGTTGTAAGGAGATTTTCCTGTACTATAACAAAGATATAAAAAAACGCACCTTGCTTGATTCAGCTGTTGAGCCACAAAAAGGTTCCTCATCGAAAGATTCGTCTTTTGTAGGACTTAGAGCTCCGAACAAATCGAACGAAAGCTTGGCGATTCTGAGCTGCTCCACAATATAGGGAACCGCCGATTCTTTGATGTTTCCAATGATTTGACGAATAATGAGCATCGCAAAAAGTAACTGAAACATTCATGCGTCGTAAATACGCATCATCACTCCACTCTTTCCATCAAGATACTCACATCTCGTAATTTTTCCATGTCTCGCAGATAAAAAGCCACATAGAATAAGGCCACAAAGGAGTTCACGAACTGGAACTGGCATTGAAATCGTCACGTCATCAATAGACACAACTCAAATTCCTAAAAATCGTCTCACCAGCACTAGTTTGACGATCAGGTGATTTTGATAGTGTTCCTCGCCTCTGTAATTCTCTAAAAAAATAAAATAAAGAAGACCTCGATTCATGATCAACGCTTTTCAATTTAAAACTTACTCACCGAGGTCGTTCAGCCAAACTGCTACGTGTTTGTAAATCCAATCAAAAAATGTTACTAACAGAGCCATAATGACTTTGGGAATGTAACTCGCAACCGTGAGGTAGGGGAAAGATTTCTCCAAGTAATCGTCCCAATAATCCTACAAAATCAACGAATACAACAATACAGTACAATTTTTTCAGCCAAATACAGCTAAACTTCACATTAAGCAGAAGATCGCATGCAGGGAAGCCTCACTAAAAAAATCTTCCCTACAACGATATTCCTCGTACAACGATTTGTCGGGGGTCCCATAGTGTTCTCTCCCCATATTATTGGGGTTTCCTACAACAAAAAACTCTCTATACGAAGAACACTGTAGTTTTACAGTGAATTGAATTCCGTTGTAGCGAGAGTCCAGTTTTTGAATACGTATTCGTAGTGATGAGTGTAACAGCTAATACATTCATAAAATATACTGCTGCTTCTATTTTATAGTATACACTCGATCATAAATATGTTCAAGTATCAACTCGTCATTACTATTTTTGGGACATTCAAGTTCAAAAGGCAATTGTGTCAATTTTGAGAACCTTTTCCGGAAATATAGTTTTTGACAATGGTCAAAATAAAATGAAAAATACTGTTATCGAAATTAAAAATCTTGAAAGCAATTAAATTGAACGTTCGTTCGAGTTCAAATTTAAAGTTTCAGGACATTCATAACAGATTTTGCAAGATTACCGCATTTACTCGAGTACCACGCGCCCTCGTGTAAAACGCGCACCAGAGTTATTCAGCTGAAAATTTTGATAAAACCTACTTACGAGTAAGACACGCAATCCTTTTCTAGTCATATCGAAAACCACAATCTTTCAAAATTAATACTGTAATAACTAAATTTGAATTTAGACATAAATTGAACAGGAACTCGACTAATTTTCCATTGTTTTCATTAAAATATGTTTTTTCTCTTAAACTTGGTCCTCAATTTCCCATTAGACTCAAATTTAATGCACATCTTATTTCTAAAGTAAATTATAACCGCCTATGACGCACACCCCCTTTTTTCCTCTAAAATTGAAAAAGGTGCGCGTGGTACTCGAGTAAATACGTACATCATTTGAAAGGGAACACAATTTTCGGATCCACCCAAAAGAATATGCTCAAATTTGTAGAAATTATTTCAGAGCTCAATTTCCATCACTCTAAGAATCCTAGCATTGCACCTGAATTTGTAGCATCGTCCACATCACACCGGATACCACAGTCAAGCAGAAAAGCATCAGCGGGAAGCTGAAAACGTAGCGCACCACATTCCGCTTCCACGGCGCGAAACACGGCTCGAGAATCCCCGTCACAGGACTGACTTCAATGGGCCCCTGCGAGCCACACAGAAAAAAAAAACCCTCGTCAATGTCAGGTCAGACTCGATTTCAAATCCCCGCTCTCTACGAACAGTGTACATCGGCCTCGGATCAGTCAGAAGCTCGTCACGTTGGTCCAACGTTCCCCATTTATAAGCCAGCTCTTTTTCTTTTCTTTTCCAGGCTTCCAGAAACACCGTGGCCCAAATTACGTTCACAACGGCAAGGAGCACAAAGCCCGCATCTTCACTGACTTGATCCCCGGCGTTACAAAATCCGCACTGTCACAAAAGAATTTCATTCTCAGGACGCGGATTGAAAATCCCGCTGGTAAAAAACGTAGTTACCCAATATGCAAGACCAGCGATCCCAGGCAACAGTAAAGCGGTAGTATAGTGCCCAAGCCAGGCGAAGTAGAAGGCAATTTTAACCCCAAAATAGTTGCAGATCAAGTCTAGCCACACAAGCATTCCCCGAAACACCACAAAGATAATTTGTTAGTTAAAGCGTTCACAATCCCCAAAAGTCACCCCATTTCCTCAAACCAAACGAATAAACCATAATAACTCGAAGAAAATCATTCATGTTTAGCTAGAAGTTGATACTTGTACCAGGTGGGAATTAGAAATTAATCCCATGCGAGATTCGCTTTATGCGCAGGGATTTTATATACTCTCATTCCTGGACGTTATGAGCTGCTGAGACGGGAAGGGCATCAAAATGCATTCCTAATTTTACTCTACCATTTCGAAATAAAACACAGGGAAAACAAGAAAAGGGACCGATTTCAAACAGTGATACAGTATCTTTAAAGCAAACAATCCACATTAAAATTCGAGTAACGACCTTCAAAACGATGACTGATTTTATGACGCCAGCTCAATTGATCACGAATTCAAAAAGTCACCGAAATTTGAAATTTGCATGCGCTCGCGAATACATTTAAATTTCGGTCAAAATTGTAGAAGTTCAAGAGACACAAGGCTGATATGAAAGTCGGCCAACTGTTTTCTTGCCTACCCTGAAACTTCAACTACTGCAATCTAACAGAAAATCTCCTTCAAAGGGAAAAACTATTATCCCATAAAAAAAATCGCTTAATGCTTCTACGTTCCAGCAAGAAGAAAATGGGGTGACTTCATCCAACAATGAGAAAACACTTGCCCAACGGTTGCGGGGCGAGGAAAGACTGCACCCACCGACGCCTCAAAGAAAACAAAAGGAATTCCTCATGCATCGGAACAATATCCCTGATTAAACTCTTCGCCAACAATTTAGGTACTGGAAGTAGAGAGAGAAAAAACACAATGCGTTACTCACCGACAAAACTGATTTCATCTGAGAAAAACTCACTCATCGGTTGTCCCTCATGCCACCGAATGCTATGATAGGGAAAAGGGGAAGGACGGCCAGGATCAAACCGTACGTTGTTGAGCAAGTCCAGAATAAACGCCTGTCGCTCCTGAGAGGTCAGAAAGGTTCCCTCGTCTTGAACGCCAATAAAATACTCTGCTTCGGAGTAAGAAAACTCCTTCGTACCGCCACCCATAGAAGGCAACAAGGGTTTCATCACGTGTAACTTATCAGCACATTGGAGAAGCCTAGAAATTAAAACAACCAGATCAAAATGCCATCTCACCGCAGGAACAGAAATTGCTTCTGAAAATTGTCAGAATGACAGGAAATTTTATTTGGTGATACTCTGGGCCTTAAATGAGTTCATAGGTGGCTGAACTCGGAGGCAAGGGTCCATTTCCCCAATTAGTCTTTCACATCCTTGAAAACACATCAAGGTACATGTTTGATTGCTTTTCTACTTCCTGTGTCAATAAAAGTTATGGCCATAAGATCTTCAGAAAATTTGAGTTACGGAGGTTTGAGAGGGAAAGCCTTCGAGTCGGGGAGGTTTGCAATACAGTACATTGTTTCTAAAGGAAATTAAGACAGGGACTTGAAACAAATTTGATATAGGGAGGTTCGAGTCACTGATGTTGAACTGTATATGAAGAAAACGGAAGAGGGGACAGTGTATGAGAGGGGACACAAATTTTGAAATCATCCCAACGAGCGTTCGGAGCCTGAGAATCAAACATGAAAGCTTTAGACCTATTCAATTCATCAGAATCAAATCACCGTGGGATTCTTCCACGATTGCGACTCAAAACTGTGCCTCGTCCAAAGCAAGAATAATAACAATCTCTTCTCAATGAAATCAGAAATACTTTGTCCATAGGTAAAGCGAAGCACTAACAGGTCATAAGTTGCGCTGCAGTAAATCCCGTAAGAAGACCCAGGCAATGAAGTGCGCTTTATCGATAGTTGAAGACCAGGTGTCTGTCGACGAATCTCCACCAGGAGCCAGTCCAGAAGAGCTACTTCAACGTCCGCTAAACGAAATTCGAGACAATTTCACCCAAGAACAGAATCAAGTCAGGACAAAACGTTTACGAGTGTTTTGGCTGCCTAATGATTTATTTCATGAATAAAACGTTCATGAAATACCTGGAAAGGCAATCATAACATCGCTTTCAGCTGGCGTCGTTTGAAGCCAAAGGCGTCTAGGGCACATCAAATGTCCTGTTTGCGGTATTTTCCGACGAATATATAAAGAAGCTGGAGAAAGGATGAAAAAAAAACTTATTAATGAAAAAAATGTAATAGGAACACGAATCAAAAATGTTTAAATGAGCACTACACGGAAAATATCAAGCTAAAAAAGAGGATAATTTCCTGTGTTTCTGTCAAGTTCATTTAGACGCCTAATAAATAAACTGACCAATGACCACACTGCACCGGTCTAGAGATTACATTTTTCCACACTTCGCATTACATCTAAGAGCGTCAATAACCGTATCCCCTTTCAAGATTCGCAAATCAACGTACGTATAGGACCTGACAATATATGTGAAAACTGCCAGCATACGAAAGCAGGGGCGAAGTATAGTTCATTACATGTGCGAAGAAAATATGAAGTATAACTATGTCTACTTAAGGTACAAACGAATGTACTTATTTCCAAAAAGTGTAAATGACAACAAACCTTATCTAACCAGATTGAATCCATTATTAATGTTCAGGTTTTTTTCCTTCTTTTTTACAAGTTTTTCTCCGGGTCAAATCCTGAAGAGGTGCTTGATTTTTCGCACCCAGGTCTAGACAATGTTTCGACTGAATTGTCAACTTTGACAGATTCCCTCATCTGAGCACATTCTCCCCAACTATCTCGCTTCAAAGATTGAAGCATTCCTTGAACATCGGCTTTCGGCTCTTTTAAATAATTAAACATGAATTTGCCGATTCTGAATAATTAAAAACCACTGATTGATGATTTAAAAATATCACTGGTAAAGATTTCGGTCGCTTTCGAATGCACTTGGATGCACAAAAATTGGCACGAAACCATGAATACAGGTGGACTTCCTCTACAACAATTTTCTCTATATAACGATTTTTCTTGGTCCCATAAGGTTCAAGGTTCTCTCCGCTTATGAGGGTTCTCCACAAAGAATTTTTCCCTGGTCCCTCGAATTTCGCTGTAGACAGTGAGTTCACCAGAACCATCAATTCCTGAAACAATCAACTTATCTATTCTCTAAGCAGTTATGGTGGCAAAGTAAGATCAGTGGTAACTTCAAATGAATTCAGAGGACAGTTAATGATGCCGAAAAAGCTTTGAAATGAGCCGATTATTCAAACTGCGTCGAATTTTGTTATGCGGGTAATCATACAATTATTTGAATCGTGGGTATGCATTTTTGGAGGTTTTTCCTAGATACATTTTCTCTGGGGACGTGCTTGATTGTCCGGATATGTTTGCGAAAGTCCCTATCCTACCATATTCAACCGAACATACCTTTTTCAAGAAGATCTTTCGCAGCAGTTGTTCCCGACAGGTTCATGGTCAAAAAATACAGAACATCAACTAGCAATTATTTCAAACTTCCATCACCTGCAATGCGGATCACCACAATTTAAAAAATACTCAAAGTAATAAATAAATAAAACATAAACGAGGAATGATCGACCATGAGAGTTCTTTTCGCTGCCGCAGGAAACTTGACGAGGTTAATAAGAACGAAATATTTCAAGGATGAGAATGTTACGAGATGCTCGCAGTTATCCCGGCGCTGGATTGGATTGATTTCTCTTCATCCCCTCAGGGATGACATTCCGGCACGCATGATTTCGTCGACAAGCAAAAGGTTGCTGGCGATCAGTGCCCTGAAAATATGGATACTTATAAACCACTAGCCTCAGGCATTAGCTGGAGCATGCAATACTCACGCGGCATCAATCAACTGCTTCTTCACGCAGAAATTGTCAAGAATGCCTTCATTTTGAGCGACTATTGGCTCACCGGAGTCCAAATTCACGCCCACAGCCTTCTTAGGATCGTCTCCCATGGTTTCCTGCAGCTTCACAATCGTATCTTGGACGTCGTACCCAGCATTGCCAGCTAATGAAAACAGCTCAACGACAATAAGACGAGATTTTTGAATGATTTTTCAAAATGGATTCCATACCAAGGGTCTTCGGGATGACGAGAAGGGCATCAGCGAATGCCTGATAACCCAAACGCGACCTTCCCTTCACCTCATTGATGCAGTTCAGCAGATATCGATGAGCTCCTATTTCAAATGCACCAGCACCTGGCAGAACACAACCTGGAACAAACAGCCGCGAACATCGCATTCAAATAAAGGGCTACAATGCGTTTGAGAATAATCTGTCTCACCGTCATCCAACGCATTTTTGATTGCTCTCAAGCCATCTCTCAACGCATCTTTGATTTGATTGATGACATACTTCGTCGGCCCTTTCACCAGAATAGTGACAGATTTCGGATTCTGAAGCTCTTCGATGAACGTATATTTATTTTCACCCTAAAAATGGAATAGATTGATCATTTTACGCAACAAAGTCGTGACATCGAATCCGGAGACATTCTAATGGTTAACTGAATTGCATCCCCTTCCAGATTTTTTTCATTCGTGTTACTACCTGTGAGTTTATGGGAAAGCCTTAGAATTACGAAAACGCCTTTTTCTAATATTCTCCATCCATTTTTGGAACGATTTTCGATAAATCACGCAAAATTTTCCTGTTTTTCACTAAAGATTCGAAGGACCAGAAGTGCTGACTTATGCACCGCACAGGAACGTTTTGGGACACACGTGTAAATCCAAAATTTCGTGTTCACTTACAAGAACGTGTTCGTAGACAACTCCCGCGTATCCCAAATCATCAACACTTATTTCGTCGAAGGAGTTCAACGCGACGCCACCGCAGGCGAGAGGAATGCGTTCCATGTTTCGGCGTTTAGCGCGACGAAGAGCAAGAATCCCTTCCTTGGCCAACATGTCCAGAGACAGGGGATCAATGCCCTTCTGATTTATGACAACAAATCCCTTCTTCTCATTCCCGGGCATGGCCAAGACCTTTTTCTTCAACTCGATTATCTTCCTGACGCGCTGGTCCGTGAAATCTCTTTCCGCTTTCACGAGGTTCTCCCGCTCCTCCGCAGATTTGTAGAAAAATCCGGCGTTCACTTCGCTGGATGAAATATGCAATTGTTTCAAACACAACCTTGACAGTAAGTCAATGGAATATTGGCGGAATAAATATTAGCTGTTAACGAAAATCCTCGCAAAATCTACAGTAATAAAGAAAAAAATCTGAACTCACGCCAACAGCAGGCAATGAGGATGCTTTCGAGGCAAGCAATTAACCGAGGTAAATTTGCAAGTCGAAGTAGGTTTCAGACTTGATATTCAGGTTTAGGCATCAATTATCCTAACGCTGATTTGTCATAATTCAAAAAAGCCAGTTGGGAAATGTCTGAGTTAAACAATTAACACGCCACTAATGATACAGTACCTGCGAAACGAACAAATCACAGAAACTTGAACTTGGCTAAAATTCGACACGAAATTTCCTCAACAAGAATGCGTGGAGATATATTAATTTTTCCTAAAATATACTACGAAAAAATAGAAATACTAACCTTTTCTCGTATTCTAGAGACACATTGCAGGTGAGAATGAAAGCGTTTTCAACGCGCTTCTTCATGTCTGGATGCCGTCCGCCGTGATCCATCACGAGTCCACGGACGAGTTGAGTTTCATCGTCGCTTTTGTGTTGCATCTCCATGATTTCGATCATGTGTAAATCAAAATCATTCACCATAGAATCTCCACCACCACTACGACGAATCGTAAGAACCGCGTCCACACAGATGTCGGCAAGCTTATCGGCCAAGTCTTGTTCAACTTTTGTCCTCAATGAAGATCGAGCCACGTCTAAAAGAGTTGCTTTGTCCATGTTTGGATTCGTGAGCTTCAGTACCTCCATGTACTCAAGGCACTTCTTCCGCGCGATCTCAAACCCTTCTGACACAACACGTGGGTGCAGACCCTATTGACCAATATCAGAAATGAACAACGAATCATATATTCACTGCACAACAGAAATTACAGTACCTCGGCAATGTAGCTATCAGCCTGCTTCAGCATTTCGCCAATCAGAAGTACGGTGGATGTAGTGCCATCTCCAGTAATGTCATCCTGAGCTGTTGACGCACGCGCTATCAGCGATGCCGTTGGATGTTGAATTTGCTAAAAAAAAAAAAAGCTTAATTAATGTTGTCTTTTGGGGATTATTTATCATATAATTCACTATACCATTTCATGCAGCAATATATTTCCGTCTTTCGTTATTTTGATGTCTCCAGCTCCAGAGACAAGCCTTCGAAGAAAAAAAATTGGGGAACATCCCAAAATTTAACTAATAAAACATAGCCGATAGTTTCAAACAGCTTCCTCACATTTTCATTGTGCCCTTCGGACCAAGATTGGTTTTCATGATTTCCTGGATACTTTTCGCAGCCGAAATATTAATGGCAAGCGATTGCGTTGCCCTGGCAACTTCGGCTTTGGGATTCAATGCGGAAATTGCAGACATGGTGCTTCACACGGTAATTGAACAGAAATTCAACCGTAAGTCCTGTAATCAGCAAAAGCTAGAAATGCGGCGTTGGTTAAAACACTGGCCACCTAGAGAGAAACATAAAAGAATTAAATATTTACCCAGCGTTTTACATAAGCTCTTTCAACGTAGCGAACAACAAATTACGGAATAAATGTGTAACGCCCATCCACCTGTTCAACTTCTGGATACAATATCAGTGTAGTCTGTAGATACGGAATTCAAGCGCCCGAAGTCTCTATATATGCGTAGCAATAAACGGTAATCCACGCTTAGAAATCGATCGCACACTGACGATTCTCAACAAAATTTCCCGCAACGAAACCTAGTTTGACCTCAACAAATTTCATTTAGCACAGAGATTCTTGGCCGAATGCCCATCGCACTCGGATAGCCACCAATAATCCATCAGTGAGACCATTGCTGCAGACCAGAGCAACCCCCATCTCTCATTACAGCAGACGGCGACAATCTACCGTACTGCGCAGACCCATTTTGGTATCGCAGAATCCAAATTGAAATTGTTATTAAAATGCTATTCCTAATAATGCCTCAATTCTACTTCCTGAATGCTTTCAAAGTTCTGGTTCGCAAAGCAATTTTTTAATTTGACGGATTGGACAATGATTTTATATACAGTATTGTCGTTTTCATGAATGAATGAGTAAAACCAACTCACGCCAAAATAAGCTGAAAGAAGCTCAGATTTGAGTAGACTATGACATGAAAGTTCGGTATAGCTATAACACCATTCTCAAAATTTCTCGGATTCCGATAAACATTTTACAGTATTCTGTCGCGCATTGTCGTGGTGTGACACCTGTGCCAATGGTGGTCCAAAGGTCAAAACCTTGGACGTGTACTGCTCAGTATTGCAGTTGCCATTCTGACGGTAGGTGATCATGCCAGCGACTGGTGTGGACTCCCTGCGAAGGCCGTTTCGAGTGCAACTGTGAGATCCCGCGGAAGGATGCAATTATGAATTGTATTTACTGCATTTTGTCGTGCCTTCGAACCGATGTAGCCGAGGGCAATATTTCTGAGCAGGTGGTAATTACAATACTTCTTTGGCTGCCCTTCTTCGACGTAAATTCTGACTTGCTGGGATGAGATACATGCGGAGGGGTTGATGATAGCGTACAATTTCGCTGTGCGTCGGATCCGCGCGTTCCCTTGACTGTGTCTAAAATTATTCATTTTATTTGTACATGTGACGTGTTTTCCAATCTAATAGAGCTCTCGTTTCAATTTAGGTCTTAGGAGTGTTAGGAGTTAGGCGAATAGTGAGCTAGAAACTCACGTAGTTGCTCGTTGCACATGTAGAGTGTTGTCCAAATTAAATGGATAACACGACGTCTTTGGAGCTCGCCCTAGAGGGCGAGCGCTTGTGCAAATCGGGTGACTGCCGTGCCGGTGTCGCTTTCTTCGAAGCTGCGATTCAGGCCGGCACAGACGATCTGAAGACCTTAAGTGCCGTCTACAGCCAACTGGGAAATGCGTATTTCTACCTGGGTGACTACTTGAAAGCCATGCAATATCATAAGCATGACCTGACGCTTGCTCGGTGAGTTTTCGGCGTGCTTCCGTATCATCTGTTTACTTGAAATGATGCTTCAGATTTCGTGTTGAAGCATTTACAAGGTTAAAGCAAATTGTTAACAAATTGATCACGTGTGCTGAACGGAAAAGCATCCCAATTTTTTTTTTCAAGTGGAAGCTTTAACTCTAGTTTCGATTATTGTAGTTGGAACTGTCTGTAGTTTATTTTATTGTGAAGTATAAATCCTTCGTTTCAATTGCTTTATGCCTTGAATTGCTTTCAGATCAATGGGAGATAGACTTGGTGAAGCTAAAGCCAGTGGAAATCTTGGGAATACGTTGAAAGTTATGGGAAAATTCGAAGAAGCTATCCTGTGCTGCCAACGACACTTGTATATATCCCGACAACTGGACGACAAAGTTGGAGAAGGACGAGCCTTGTACAATCTTGGCAATGTGTATCATGCTCAGGGGAAACATTTGGGTCGCCTGGGCCAGCAAGACCCAGGAGATTTCCCCGAAGAAGTTCGTCAGTGTTTACAAAGTGCTGTTAATTATTACGAGTAAGCATATTTTTCTACCTTTGTCACTTTGCTCTGAGAATGTATTTACGGTTCGATTCCGGATTCCTCTTTGTAGAGATAACCTGAGGCTGATGACGGAAATTTCTGATCGTGCAGCTCAAGGACGGGCGTGTGGCAATTTAGGCAATACTCACTATCTGCTGGGGAATTTTACACAAGCTATCAATTACCATCAAGAGGTTGGTAGACTTCTGCAGTCCGATTTGAAACGTGTCCGATGTTTATTTTCGATTTATTAACACTGTTCGTAACGATGTAATCCCTGTGACTTCATTGGACCACTTGAGCGTCTTGTCTACTGCGAAAATTGCGTTTACCTTACCTAACAGCGTATTCGAAGAAAAAAATAGAAAAGCAAGCCACTTCTTTCTTCATCCCAGATGGATTTAATCATTCCTTATTAGCATTTCCAACGTTTGTCAAGCATTCAGGAATTGACGTGAACGCAAAATTTCGTAATAGATTTGCTGTATCTCTTAGCATTTTATTTTCCTGGAGACGGATCTTGTTTTTTCAATTGTAGTAAATTATGCCATCCAAAGCAGCTTGTAATTCGTGAAAAAATATTGTATGAAGACGCTAGCATATAGCAGTGGCATATTATTTACTGAAAGGAATCACTATTTTCCGAAAAATCTAGAAAACACCTGCGACAAGACTTTTTTGGCTGTCCTAGGAAGCTTCCAAAATTCTTCAGAATACAGTATTGGGCATTTTCATGGGTAACCTGCGCCAAATGTTTTAAGCTGCAGTGAAAGAGGATGGTATAACCCCTTGTTACTTCTCATCTGTTGTAAGACGCGCTATTTTTAGTGTATCCGTTAAGAGCTTAAATTCATATTCCTAGTGTTGCGCAGCTCATTTATTTATTTCGATCGATTGAGTGCTTGATAAATTTTTTCTTTCTCACGAATTTTTATCTGGTTTCTCACGACTCCCTTTTTTCGGTTGGTGCAGAGACTCAAAATAGCGAAGGAGTTCGGCGATAAGTCTGCGGAACGCAGAGCTCATTCAAATCTTGGCAATGCACATGTGTTCCTCGGAGAGTTCGAAGTGGCAGCTGAGCATTATCGAAGGACTCTCTGGCTCGCCCAGGAACTTGGTGACAGGGCAGTTGAAGCTCAGGCATGCTATTCGCTCGGAAACACGTATACTTTGCTCAAAGACTACACGACTGCGATTCAGTTTCATTTGAGGCATCTGAAGATCGCTCAGGAATTGATGGACCGCGTAGGAGAAGGTATATTTGCTCCTTGTGAAACCACTGTACTGTATATTTAATTTCTCATGTGAATGAACTCCTTTTAATGATTGACAGGGAGAGCGTGTTGGAGTTTGGGGAATGCTCACGCTGCGATCGGCGAAAATCAGACCGCGTTGAAATACGCTCAAAAGCATTTAGAGATCTCGAAAGATGTGAGTTTATTCCTGTCATTTTGCTTGAAATCCTACTGAATTTTCGGTTTATTTTTATCATTATGAAGGATTAGAATGGGAATTTGAGTATGTTTGGGCTTTTATTTCATATGCGGTACTTCATTGATTCTTCTCGTGCATCTTCCCTTCGCGCGAAAAAAATGCTTCCTTGCAATATTTACTTGGTTTTCTTCCGTATCAAGAGTGTTTTTTGAAAACCAAAAATTGGCAAAGAATGCATGATGTACGCGGAAGTAATTTTGGTTAGGATTGTCATGTTTTTTTTCTTCTCTTTCCATTTCCTGTTCAAGAATTACTGTGAGCGACTTACGCGGAGTATAATGAACCGATTGGATACGGATGCATGGTACCCGTATAGGTACTCATTTTTTGGTATCCAGAGCATAATTCTAGGGTGTAAATTAATGAATACTCTTTTTGGAATTATGTACAATATGGATCAGCACACGAGGCAGATTGCGTAAGATCTTCGTTCTAAGTAATCGAAACACCCATCGAACAGTATCCTCTTTTTTGGTCAATAATTTATCGGAAGAAAATACTGTAGATCAACGACTGGCTTACTCCTTCATCATTCAATAAGTTATCTTTCTCACACATCTTCTCAGATCGGGGACGAGACCGGTTATGCCACCGCGCAAATAAGCGTTAATGAGTTGGAGAAAGCTGTGGAGGATTGCAGTAGCGTCAGTGGGAGTACTCCCCTTGCTGTCAGACGCCGTTCCATGGAAAATATGGACCTCCTTAAGGTTCGGCTCATTTTTTCTGGTTCCCCCAAAAGCTGTGTAATTCCGAATATTTTTTTTAGAAATCTTCTAACCGGAATTTATTGTTTCTGAGTTGAACTAAGGAATGCACTGTGATGTCTGAGATAAAAATACGGGAAAATCACACTTCATCCAGTTCAGGCAGAATCATTATTTAAGGATAAATTTTATTACTGTGCACGTGGAAATTACATCAGACAATCACCGGTTTTGAATGCATGCGCGTTAGAAAAGTAAATCTTGAAAGAGCAATTTTTAAAACAGCAAGCATTATAAGGCTTTTATTTACGAAAGGTTAGTTGAGTTTAGTTATATGGGTATTGAGTTTTCGGCACGGGCTTTCGAATTGCTCTTCTGTCCACTTGCTTATTTGATATTTGTTCTTGTGTGGTATAACCGATTCAGACTCATCCAGGAATGCACCATTGGAATTCTTTACGCTAATCTAACTGAAAATATATTTGACATGCGATACTTGAAGCAAATAAACCAACATCCCGCGTCATGCCAATTTAGATTAAAATCCTCAGCGTTGATTATTTTCCGTGGCGTCAAAGTGAAGATTCATATTTTTCATACCGATTCAGGATTCTAACTTGGTGGGTATCATTCAGGTTGGGCAAATATGAATCGATTTCGCGTTTTCCGTGATGTTCTTCGAGAGAATATGGTGTTAACTTGGCGTTGTCGATGTGTTTTCCTCCTACTCTGAAGCAGATGACACCGGACACCGCAAACGGAGGCCCAAGAACGCCTAATCTCAAAGAAAGGAGCGTCACTGTTGATGAAGGATCTGGTAAAATGAAGCTACCCCCATTGCGGCAAATTGAGAATGGGCTATCAGGAAACGAATGCACGCCTGGAGTTCATCGTGAGGAGATGAAGCATAACATGTCAGCGGGGAACTTCGAGGATCCAGAGCAAGAGGACTTCTTTGAATTGGTTTCCCGATTTCAGAGCAAAAGGATGGACGATCAACGCTGTCCTATTTTCGAAGAGCCCGAAGATAATATGGGCAGTAGAGCTAGTCGATTGTCCGACGATTCTTTGATGACGGGTGAGCAATTTTTTTTTTGTCCGGATATCCAATCATCGAAAGATTGGTATCCGAATTTTCTTTCTTACGCGTGAAAAAGCATTTGGATCGCCCGCATCCTAATGAACCCACCCAATTTTGAAGAAATTATTGTTGTTTTGTTTAGCTGCGCCTCATCATTCCAATGATTATCCCTAAAATTGTATCCTTTCTGAAATTCAATGGGATTTGCTAATAAGTAGTCGCTGCTGGAACTTGGAAGTGACGTTCACAAAAGAACAAATTTAACGTCATATTCATCATGGGCATATAAAACAAAGCTTGGAAGACATAAAATCTAATCTTAGTCGTTCTGTTTTTGAGTGTTTCGGAAAATGGAACTATGATAATCGAGGTCATTGTCGATCAGTTTCGTCAGTTGAAAAATTAATGGATTTATTAATATTGAGGCGTTTGAAGAAGAAATCGGCAAGTTTCAGTCCTACAGTTTTTGAATTTCAAAACTTCCGAGTAAGCCTATTTTATTTTTCAGTGACCAGTTCACGTTTGACTTATTTTTCTATGTGCAGTTTTTTTTAATATAAACAGTATTGTACTACAGGTTTCGTTAAAAATAATCAACTATTATAATTTCTTATTTTGGTCCTTGAAAAATTTTCATGCGAGCTGAAACCGTTATCAACTCCAAGTATCCGAAATACGGTTGTTCTGAATTTTTAAAATTATGGCACATATAATTGAAAAAAACACCATTTCATTGGGAAAAAGAAAATCTTCCGTGCTACAGTATTAGGATTATGACTCATTTTCAGCTGAGGATCGGGCGGTGGCAGCAGTGAAAGAAGACCTCCTTGAGATGATCGCTGGAATTCAAGGAAAGAGACTAGACGAACAACGGGCCTGCTTGCCTGGACTGAATCCTAGCAAGGATAATGAATTCATCATCAAAAGATTGTCGATTGCTTCGTCCGTCGGAGGCAGCACGAGCGGAAAAAATTTTCCCGACGATGGCTTCTTTGATCAGCTAATGCGCTGTCAGGTTAGATTTTATTTTTTATTTTTTGAGTTCGTGGCACTGCTTTGAAAGTCCTGTAGAAGTACTTCTTACGGAACAAATTTTGAGATAAAAACAATTTCTTTTTGATAGCTCTTATGCGTCTGGACGGTCATTAGAATATATCAAATTCAGAGTTGATGACTATGGTGAAAATTATGTAAAGGTTACAACGCTTCGGTTCGATGTCTGACATCTCCGACTGCGGGATTTTCTCTTCTCTGACTTTCTTTGAAATGTTAATTTGTATTTTTATCAGTTTCGAAATAGGGTGGATTTAGGTCAGGTATGTTAGGTTAGTTTTGGTAGAGTTACTTTTTATTAATTTGCGACTTCAGCTTGACATCTCAGAAAGTAAGGCCAAGCGACAAAGAGCGAATTAAAAAATCTTTAAAAAAAAGTTCAAGAAATATTTTATGGATGCGTGGTTTGATGAAACTCTTGAATTTTGAGTTTGAAGTGAGGAAAAGGTATTATTTTCTTTGTTGGGTGTTGAATTTTAAAATCGTTGTTAGTCGTTGGTTGATCGTTGAAAATACATGTGTAAGTAAATAAGAAAAAGTCTTCCGTGAATTATTTTCGAGTTCCACAATAGAGGAAATGAGCATCGGGAGTGATCTCAGGTGGTCGTTCGATAGCGGAGAACTTCCGACCGAAGACATTTTTCTGGCTGTTGAGAATGCTAAAACTTTTTGTAGGCACTTCGTGTCATAAGTTAATTGATATTTCTTTACTTACCTGGAAGTTCTTGTGAGACCGGTTGAAATGAAAAAGGTTTTCAATCCAGATTTTGTTTAAATATGCTCACAGGGTTCACGTATTGAAGATCAGAGATGCTTCCTGCCGGGCGGAAACCGTGTGAACGGAGCCGCAGTGACTAGCGAAAATAATAGGATGCAAGTGTTGCCGCCGCCACCACCGAAGGCGCCCACAGTACCCGACGAAGATTTCTTCAGTTTGATCATGAAGCTCCAGTCGGGTCGCATGGAAGACCAAAGGTCTGCCCTTCCACGTAACGAAGATCGGCGTCGAAGCGAAGGCGGTAGTCCTGGTGCTAGGGCGCACGACCCGGATCACCCCGGGCGGGAGATTGAAAAGTCGTCCAGTGTACCGAAGCTAATCAAAGTAACGAAGAAATGATGAGGAGAATTCGTTGAAACAAAACAAAAGTTTTGCTTGTTTTTTTTTTTTTTTCACTGCTCTTCCCTCAGGCTTTTAGCGGTGGAGTGTTTAGGTGTTTCTTGAGGATAAATTTGACCCCGATAACATTTTAATGGGCAACTTCGTCGTGTAGAAGTAACTGAATTCTTTCATCCGCTTCCTGAAGCTACAGTATTTTCTCGTTTGAAAATTAGAGGAGCTATTTGAACGGGAACGAGACGATTTTTTTACGGCATAAGACGATACATTTCAGTGAAGCTTAGGTTTGGCGCATCGTCTCATATTTTTGATGCTGTGTTTCCCACCTTTTTCGTGGATATACAATATCAATGGTTAGATATAGAAAAGGGGAGGAAATGTGACAATCGGAGCTTCTTTGTCCTTGTATTGGTATTATTGTTGTTGCATACCGAAACACCGATGAAATTGAACAATACTCAGTGTGAAGAGAGAGAGATGAAAATCTTGAAAAAGTGTAGTTTTGGGCTTCCCGACCCTCAAATGGCAGCCGATGAACTGTAAGTGTTCATCCGTTTTTATCGATTTTTTTTTTTACTTGAAAGAATGAACTCAGTCGAAAGATGTGTGAGATGGTTTTCGTTGTTCTGCGTATTGTACCGTGATTGTTCAGGTTGATTTTTCTGTGTTCTGTATCTTCGAATCGCAGCTTTTTCGTTGGATGATCTTTTGTCGCCGGTTGAATGTTTGTGGATTATCGATTAAATTAGTCCTAATTTTTTTACTTTGGCATTCAGAAGACTAATGAGTCTAGATATATTTTCCCTTGATCCCAGGTTCGAAAGTAGAGGACTGCATTTGTAGAATTCTGTTAAAATCAGACCTTTCACGGACAGTACTTTCAGGAATTTCTCCACGATTTTTATGGTTATTCCGCTTCTTTTGAAATTAGCTAGCGCTGTATTATATACGTTATGCAATTGAAGTCCTATTTCACATGAAGTAATGCCTGTCGTTGTGGTATTTCTGCGTTCTGTGGGCGAGTTTTTCTTTATCCCTAACCTGAAATGTGTTTGATATTTTATTTATGAAAATTTCTGAAGTTAATTTGCGCGTGATCCTGAATTTCTTAATGAATTCTTCCCAAGAGTGTTCGATCTCGCGCGTTTCCTGGCTATTTCATCGCTCAAATTCCCTCGAGCGTAATCATTCCGTGTTGACGCATTTTTGTCAAGACAGATGAGAAAATATCCTGTCCGAAAAGTGCTGCCTTGTTTTACTGATTTCCCTTGACAAGCAATGTTATCGATTCGTTGCAATGTGCAAGGTTCATCTGTACAAAAATTGAAAAGAAAGGCTTGCGATGTTGTGGTTGGCTGACCCTGAGAGGTGATTTTTGTATGCGTTTTTATTCGAGAATTCGTATGAATAAACCCCGATCCCATGCTGTTCCTCAATGAATTTGCTGAGTAAATGTGCGGAATAGCGCCAAGAATCATTTCCAGTCCGTCGTCGAAAGAGATCGTCGATGAAGCACGTTTTTCTATTTTGTCATTGACTGTGAATTGAGTTTTTTCGATTCAATATCAGTGTTAGATCCATTCCTCGCTATTCGACCTAGGTTTAAAAGTTTCCCTGTAGTTCATGATTTCTTTGCAACGTGGATTAGTCACATTCCGAGCCCGAGAGATGAGAATGAATAGAAACTGTTACCGCGCTTTTCCACCCACGTGGCTTTGCTTGAGATGGCCTAATTTTTTTTAGAAGAAACATTTTAATGCAAGGCTTGAACCGCGCAGAACTTCAGTGATTAAATTTTGCTTCTACAACCAAATTCCGATATTTTATTGAAGTGTTTGAATTTTGAGCTTTTTCGCCTCTTTGCGCGGCTCAGTGTTCGCTATAATTTTCATGGTATTACTTCATCGAGTAATTTTAAAAATGGAAGTATATGCTTAGTGTCTTTTTATCTGATACAATGTTGGACGAAGAACTCGAGTTGCTTGAAAGAGGCAAAAAAGTTCAGTTGAGCCGTCATTAAATTGTGAGCTTATTTTCGATTGAATCGGTTTTTTTGTCGGGCGCCTTAGAAACGAGTGCTTACTTCAGCTGTGATTGCTGTCGAGTGAGATGACGATAATTACCGACGAAGGAGTGGATCTAACCGAAGATGAAGCAAAGCTGTATGATCGCCAGATTCGACTTTGGGGCTGGGATGCCCAAAAACGGTGAGTGGCGTTAGTTGGACTTATGTTTCAGCCAGTCCTTGTTCATAATTGCAATTGACGAAAATTCCGTGAAAGGGTCGATTCATGACGTTCTCTTATTCCAGGCTGAGGGGCTCGAAGATTTTGGTGTACGGAATGAGTGGCTTAGGTGCAGAAGTCGTGAAAAACGTCGTCTTGGCAGGAGTGAAGTCCATGACTGTGATGGACCCTGAAATAACGACTGCTGAAAACTCGTACACGAACTTTTTTCTGCCTGTCGAGAAAATTGGGGAAAATGTGAGTTTTCAAGCATAGTTTTTATTTTATTTGTGTAAGCATATTCTTCCTCATGCACAATCTGGATGATCAAAAAGAATCTTGATTCTCTTGGCTGTATCCCTGGTGTCCCAGCCGTGTGATTTATACTTCGATCGAATTGCTTTCGCCTACAATAAATTTGAAAATAAATTTTGTTTTACTTAGGCCCGACATGTTCGATTTTTCTTTTCGGTTGTAGTCCCTGATATTCTGAATTAAGTGCTCGAATTTCCATCACACGCTGACCTCTGTTCGGGTTTTTAGGTTATTGAATGCTTGATGGGTTCGAGATCAAAGCGACTTACGAAGTTGTATTGTACAATATTTACCCTCGCCTGATGCCGAATTGGTTTGTAACCGAGAGGTCATATTAATATATGTTATTGTTTTCCTCCATGTTTGTAATATTCGTGTTTACCTGAGTAAGACGCGCACCCGGGATTTTTAGATGCTTTTTTTCATAAAATTTCATCCCTGAATAAGACGTGCAACACATTTTTAGTGACTTGAAAACTGCAATACAGTACAGCACTGTATATGAAAAATAAGAACGCCCAATACGGAATTTGGATATGAATCAATCCTGAATTCAACTAATTTGCAATTGTTTCCGATGCAATAAGTTTTTTCTGGTAAAATTGGTCGAACATTTCTCGTTAGGATCAAATTTAACGAGCACCTGAAGTTGTGAAATTTTTTGAACATTTATACCCGTCTATGATGCGTACCTATTTTTTTCCGCTTAATTTTACGAAAGAAAGTGCGTGGTTCTGGAGTAAAGACGGTACAGTATTTATGATTGAGATTGATATACAGTGATAGTGATGGGTTCATTTCAGTGCGTTAATCTTTTAAATTTAGAGAGCATCAGCAGCAGTAAACGCCATCAAGGCCCTGAATCCGTCAGTGGAGGTTCTCGCAGAGACGGACAAGTTGGAGAGCAAAAATGACTCCTTTTTCGACCAGTTCGATGCAGTTTGTCTGGTAGGGGCATCACAGAAGCAGATCATACGTGTCAACGACATTTGCGCTGCCCTGCACAAGAAGTTCTTTTGCGCCGACGTTTTTGGCTTCTACGGATATGTCTTCACGGACTTGGGTGTACATAAATACACGGAGTAAGTTCTCAAAGAAAAACAATTTGCGCGACGATAAAGGCGCAGATAAGATTTCTAAGGATTTTTGTTCGTGTGGAATTATTTTATTTATATAAAATAAGTTTCAAGTAAACTTTATCCCGTTGGGAGTTACGTTCTGCGCTGATCATTGTAATTTATTATTGCAGGGAAGTGGAAGTGTCGCAGCCTTCCGACCCAAAAAAGCCAAAACTGGATACTGTTACTAAAACGTTCATGAAAACAAGAGCATTTGTCCCATTCAAAGACACTTTGGATCTCGTCTGGACCGAAGGTGACTTCAAAGGTCGTGTTAAGAAAGTGGATGTCACTCTTTTCATCATCCAAGGTGAGTTCGAATTTTAAAATGCATCATTAAATTTGTTCCTCCTCTTGGTATCCATTTTAAAAATTCCATTTGTGGTTGTTTTACTTGCGGTATCTAAAAATAATTTTTTCTTAGCCTTGATGGCATTCGTGGACGCGAAAGGAAGACTTCCATCTGTCGATACTCTGGAGGCGGACAAGAAGTCTCTAACTGAACTAACGGAATCGATTCTTGAAAAAGGCAATGTGCCTAAAGACAAGCTGCCCCTGGATTTCGTTGAGTGAGTTAAAATCAAGTATTGTTCGTTCTTTTTCTTCGTTCATAATACGTTTAACGGATTTTCTTTTCTTTCAGTAATGTATTCGGATGCTTGATGCCAGTTTGTGCGATTGTTGGCGGAGTCTTGGGTCAAGAGATCATTAAAGCCTGTTCGCACAAAGATCCACCGTTCAACAACACATTTTTGTATGATGGCATTAACTCGTCTGGAACTGTCCAATGTCTCAAAAAATGATCTGCTTGAGCAACTAAAGCATAGAAGCACAAGGACACAGTCAAAAAAAGAAGAAAGTTAATTTCACGAAACGGAGTTAGAATGAACCAAAAATAAACATAGACTAGACCCATTGAGTTGGCGAACTTTTAGCGCCATGATTCTCATCGAAATGTCATGAATTCGTTCATTCCAAGAACATTGACGCAATTCCTCTTAAAGTCGATGAAGCTCAGTATAATGGAAGGCTGTAAAGGATCTGTAATTCGTGAATGATTCGACAAGCGGTTGAGTTCATCTGAGGAATTTCCCGAGAGAAATTCGATTTTAAAATCATGTATTCATCACGCTCGTCGCTCTGCATTTTCAAGGAAATGTTTTGGCAGAAATGAAGGAGGGATGAATGTCACGTGCCAGTTCGAAGTGTGCTTGAAATGATTTCGTGCTCGAGATGCGGTGTCGCTTTGACGTCGCGATTGGGAACCACGATGAAGTGGTGGAGCTCGAGTCGGCTGAGTCCGGTATATCCAGTGAGCAAATCATTTCACACGTCGAAGGCATTTCGGGAAAGAATCAAACAGGAGCAACAGCCAGAAACCCGCCTGTCGATCAAGAAGATGTTCGCGAATGAAGATAAGGCAAAGGAAACTTTTCTGGAGGCCATTGAATACTTCACGCGCCAGGATGTTACGCATCGACGGGGACATGTGGAATTTATTTATGCCGCCCTGAAGGAGATGGAACCCTACGGACTCAATAGGTGAGCCGACAGTAGAGCTCAGCAAACAAGATTCCATCCTTCGAAAGTTTAATTTGTATGAAAACAGTACTGTACAGTACCTCGATTTGTGCGTTCAAGACGAACCCGAAATCTCATAATTAATTAGTGTCTTATATTCGCATGCACTAAATCTTATATTTACTTCATGGGATAACTCGAATGTGTACCTCTTTTTAAATAATGAATACTGTACTATCAAACCTCAATAAGCCGTCAACATTTATTTGAGGTTTGTGGCGGTTTAACGGGTGACGGTTTGAAGATGTTTGGTGGTTAATCAAAAAAGCTAAAATAATATGAAAATTAATGGGAAATAAAATTCTCTTTCTTCTAAATGACAATCAAAGTAACCCTGGAATGCGTAAATTATAACTAGCTAATGTTTCCTAAAGTTGAATTATGTCACCTTTGTGTTTTGCGTTTTTTTAAATTGTTCTTTCAGGAACTTGAATCTTGTTGGCGGACTATCGGAGACTAAATCAATGTGCAGGAGAATATTTGATTTGTCAATTATCTTGGCAGATGGCGTTTTAACGGGGTTTCCGATGCCTTCATAATTAGGGAAGATTTGTTTCTCCAAATAAATTCTCGGTTGCTGAGGGTGGCGGCTTATCGGGAGGCGTCTCAATGGGGTTCATCCGTACATTTTCTCCTCATGCTAATCTTTTTACCACTGAGAATAAATCTTGATCATGATCTGCGCAGAAAACACACATTTTTATCTGGAAATTTGAGAAACCATTTGCAATTTTTTGAACTCTGCGCAGTTACTTCCAGGTAACTCGGTAATTGCTCGAAGGACTAGTTTATTTCAAAAGGAAAATTAGAAAGCCATTATTTGCCTTTCTTACTTGTAATGCGCTGTGTTTGAGAAGAGCCGTTCAAGAGTTTGTTCCCTTTCGAAACTTCATAATAGAGCGTGAGGCATGCTTTGAGGCAATCAAAATTGAGTCTTGCATTTATAAATGTTGCATTTTACAGATTTTAAGCTGCAAAAAGAACGTTCCAGATGTAAGAGACATGTGAGTGCTGAGGCAGTTACCCAGCCTCCAAGGGAATTTAATTTATAGTACAAATCTACAATTATGGCTGCAAAAATTAGGGAAGCTGGAGCATCATCACTCATTGGATGTTAAAAGAGGACTTTATTATTCTCTCCGATTACAGGTTTCATAAAGACAACAATCACACACACACAATCACAAAATACAATCTCGCTTTGTGCAATAAAAACTTGCTTCCAAAATAAAACAAATCAGCCAAGAAAACATGCTTTGCGTATGGCGCAATTCCCAACGCACAAACTTCCGAAGCAAATAACTCTGCGAATTTTATACTTGGAAAATTCCGCAACGTCTTAAATTAAAGTTGTTGATGTTCTCTAACTTTTTCTGATCATACAAAAATCGATCCGACTGACAGATCTTGTGATATTTCCACTTTTCTGAACCTAACTTTTCTTTAGTGTTAAGAATCTGGAAAACTCTCATGCCAGATTCTTATCTCACTGATGCACAAGCTTTTGGTGCGAACAGTGACTTAAAAAGTCTTGCACATAATGCATGAATGAATTTATTTCTGCAACAGTTGTATTTGTCAAACTGCGAGCTTTTTCTTACTAAATGAGGCGCAGTTGTGTATTTCCTATTCTGCAAAGCTTTTCTAATCCCGCTTCAGTTGTGTGTTCCGATGACTCAAGGAATACAAATTTTATTCCAGAGATCTTGAAGCCTACAAGAAGATTTTGGACGTATTTCCGAAAGGAAAATTCATTCCCGAAAACCTCTTCCAGGCTGAATTTCT